ATAAGAAATAGACTTGACAGGTGATTAAAAATATTTTCTTTGAAAACTATTTTAACGTTTGAGGAAAGCCTGAGAACCAAATGATGATAGAAGCCGCACCCACAAACTGTACACTGAACAACAATAACACTGATTTAATGAAGAAATTTAGACATTAGAGACCAAATAATAAGTAGGATTTGTTTGATGAGGAATTTTATACCATCATAAAACACACTGACATAGGAGAACTTGGATTGGAGGGTTACCAAACTACTATTATGGTCAGAAGAAGCTTCTTTTCGTGGTATGTTTAATGCATGTTCGTTTTGATGTCATCTGAGTGCGCTAAGTATCATGGCTACATTTTTGTTACCCTGACATGACCATGCCAAAATAACGGTGAATCATATTGGTAAGCTAACATCTACAACAAATTTGGATTACTTGACAATCAGCAGATAGGTCTCTTTTAAAAACGATCCCTTACTTACATCATGGTGTGAATTTACAGCCGAATAAGTTTGTATGCCTTAGGCCTATTGTGTCTCATGGTAGAATGGTAGGCCTACATGAACTAGAATTAGGCTAACTCAAACCATTTCTGTGGCTAATAATTTAACAAATGTGTTATCAAAAAAAGATAATTTGAACAAATATAGACTAAGGTCTGTCTTCATAGCATTTTAGGTTAAACAACAGTATATATTACAAAAGGTGTTATGTTACATTAGATTACCGGTACCGGTAGGCCTACTTAACGTTAAACTTATAACTTGAACAAGTATAGGTTTATATTAGTCTGAATGTGATAAATAAACCAAAAAAGCCAGTATTTGACTACTATTAGCCTAAACAACAACTCTATTACATTTTTGTATTTAAAACAATAATTGAACACCCTCATTTGTCATCTGGAAACAATTTAAGACAAAATAGCTTTTCTTATCTGCGTCTGTAACTAGTCCAAAATTTCCCTCTACAAGGTACTACTATTTAGTTAAGAGCGCCACATTGTCAAAGCGTGTAACACCTCAAAAGATCAAAATAAATAACACAAAACATGGACACAACACGAAACGAACAACCATAGCGCTGACATGAATAATCAGTATTGGCAACAGCAGTGGACTAGAGTCCACATCTAGTTGTGCTTGCAAAAAAACTACAGTAAGTAGTAGGCCTTAAAGGCCCTTGTAGACGGAGCCAGTAGTGGCGTCCACTTTGAGTACTGGCCGCCACCAAAAATCGTGCTACTGGCCTCGTGTATCTAGGGGTACTGGCGCCTTCCACGGCCAGTAGCTAGTGGCGGCCATTAAAGTCAACCCTGTTCGAGTTTTGTGGCCAGTGAAGCAGCCACTAACAGGTCACGTGACCTAATGGCAGCCATTATTGGCCGGTTCTTTAAGTGTCGTGGCCACCAGTAGAGCTTTTGCAGTCACAGTGTGAGGACTAGCTGCATGTAGATCGTTGTTTGTGATTAGACCAAGTGATTTCTGTGCTGTGCTGACGTTTGTGAATTAACATGTCGAATTCAAAACCAACCAAAGATAGTGGGACTCATAAAACCGTTGAGAAAGAGAAAAAGAACACAAGTGGGGACCAGATCATATTCAAACATTTTTAGAAACGTTTGGCTTCAAAACTATGAACTGCTGTAGAATGTACGCAGTTTCTGAATTAAAAAATGGTTTTCAACTCCTCACTTACAGCTAAAACACATTCACCCACCACTTCATCAAAAGCCTTATCAAATTCACTATCACTTATGGCCGCCAGAACTGGCTGCTACTACTGGCCTTGTCTACAAGAGCCTTAAGCATTTTTTACTAAGACTATTTTGTCATAAAGAAGCCCAAAGGCCATAATGTGGATTGTGACCATTGTAAGGTTTTAGAAATTACGCCAGACAAAACAGTTTATGAACTACCTTCCTTCTGGTAGCCCTACTACGATGAAAGAGTAAAGGGCACATTTTAAAATGCCCCTTAAACCAGAGAGCCAGCTTTTACTCAACGTTCACGTAACTTAGTAAAGCCAATTAAAAATTAATGGGAGAAGTATTATACACATCTAAACTTACTATTTCAAATATCGCAATAGGATGAGAAGTCTACTTATGGTTACTAAATTTTAATGGTTTACTTATGAATCTATCTAACAGGGTGTTTTTAAAAGAATGCCGGGATTTCAAACGGTAGTTGCTCGGGGACTATTCAAGATAATTAGACGATTGAATCGTCAAATTGAAGGGAAAAAAATAAAGTTTTTTCTCATTCTTTCATACAATTCGAGATGATAAAATAAAGTTCATATTTTCATCAATCTTATGAGCGTAAAACTGGCAAAGTCTGTACGCTTAGGGCGATCGGCAGGTTTGTCTTAACTGAATCTTTTTTGGTACAAAGACTCTATCTTTTATAGATAACATCATAAAGTGACCAATTTAGGTTTGTTAAACTGAAGACTTCATCGGGGAATCGATTTTTTCGGGTTTCTGATACAGAATTGTCGGATTTCTTCGACTATGTCATCGCTTGTTTTTAGCCGGCCAGGTGAATGTCTTTTCAAAACACTTAGGTGCCACGAATCTCATTAAACCAGCTTCAAGTTTCTTTATCATCAAGTAGCCTAGGTCTAAATTTAAATTTAGTTTAATTTAGCAATGGATATAAACTCTGCAAACTACAGATTACTATTTGTGCCTCCTGTTGCGTCGTAAACGCCGTACTGGCGACTGGCGTCAGACCTATGAGTCACAATAGCGGCCTATCGCCCCGCACCTATTTTACGCATGCCAATGTTCGCAAGATCAATGTTTCTTCCCGTGCTACACGGAAAAAAACTTAGTTATTTTAGCTCCAATTTGACGTATAAAACGTTTAGTTACCTTGAATAGAATCCAAGCGATTACCATTTATAATCCCGGCATTCTTTTAAAAACACCCTGTAATTGTAAGATTTTTAAGCACACACCTGGATGTGTATTAAATGCCTAATATTAGTATAACTTAACAATTCCCTAACTAAATAGTGTTTTGAGGAGTTGCTTGGTAGAAGGCGATATGAATCTAGCTTAATCGTTCTTTAAAATTCAACTGAGCCCCTGAGCACACAATTTAGGGCCTAAGGTAAATAAATTTTGCCTGATGAAAAATTTACTAAATATAGGCCTAACAAAAACTTTATGGTTAGTGGTTCATTGTTTGTAGGGCTACTTTATTTTAGTAAAGTCAATATGATGTAGGCCTAAGGACAAGCTACTAAGTGGCTGCAGTGATAAGTTAAGTACATGACACTATTCTCAAACCCTCAGATGTCTATGTTCGAACCATCGATAAGTTAAGTTATCAATATTATTATTTCAAGACCCTACCATTAACCTGTCCTATGACTAGCTAACGACTAGTCTAATGAGGGCAAATAATGGCCTCGACAAACAGAATGTTTTATCAAAACCGGTTAGGCCTATGTGTTAGGTTAGAAGAATCATAAAACTTTAACAAGTTTCGTTAAATTGAAACGACACTAAGTTTATGCTATTAAACACAAGTTAGCCTAGACATAAGTTATATTGGCAGATATTAAAACTAATCTTTAGATCAGTAGGCCTACACAATAAGTTACGGTAATTTAACTTACTAGGATTTTAAAAATACAATAACTTAGGGCCTAAGTTAGGTTATCTTAAATTACTTACTGTTAGGTAGACCTAATCATAAGTAAACCTACTTAGATCTGGCTCATGTAGGCCTAAACGAGCATTTATCGTAAAACAAGAGAAGCTTCATAAGTTATCGTCAAAACCAATGTGTTGTAAGTTAGGCCTAGTCATATAAGTATACCAAGGTAAATAATAAAGGTAAATAATGTATAAGGTAAGGCATAAGTTAATTTTACAAACTGGTAATAAATAATTAATTTAAAATATTAATTTTACGTTACAGCTGGCAAAGGTTTAAACTTAAACTTATGTAATTTAAGTTTTTTTTCGACTTACCTAGGCCCTAACTTAACTTTTCCCCGTGGGTCATTTCTTATTGGTTGTTTAAACATTATTAACCATAATTATATTAAATGTTAGGTCCCACTTAAGACTTTTTTAAATAGGCTATGGTAAATTATTCAAAAGAAGCTTTCAAAGTTAACATTTTGTTTCCATTTCTAACTTAGGCCTATCAGAAATATATTTTAATACCGTGGAGCTACATGTAAACAAAGACCAAACTTTTGTTTTCATTATATATTCAATGTAGTCTCCTGAAATAAAATATACGGAACTAATTAAATAAAACTGTGGTGTGTATTTTCAGTGTTCTAGACTAAGTTAGGTACCTACAGCAAGTTAGCTTATGAGTTTATCTCTGTAAACCTAAAGGAAAAATCTAGCCAGAGTCGAAGGTTCGAGGCTTAAGTTAGTCAAAGGTAAGGTAAGTATATTTAAATTGTCTGATGCCATTCACTAAGCACAGTAGTAAAAGGACAAAAGGTAAATTAAGGTCTAGGCTAGGATAAGCCTATGCCTATTTGTTTCTAAGGTGATAAGATCATTCAAGAAGCCACAAACAAACTTAAATGGACAAATGCAATAGTATTACACCGTGTTACTGTTAGTGTCATGATAACAACTAATGCAGGAACAATATAGTTTGCAAATGCTTTGGAAACCTGAATAAACAGGTATAAACCTAGGACTAAAACTTAGCTTGTCAAGAGTAAAAACAACACCAGTAAATGAATCTAAGAGACATTTATCATATCCTATAGGGAAACAGACAATTACAAGAGTGGACGAAAAATTAAATAAAATTGGCTTTCATAATATAATAACGGGTTCAATTAAAAAGTTTGACAAACATAGAATTTAGTAATGATAATAACAATCCTCTGTGAGTTTTAGGCATAGAATCATGGCGGACAAAAGTGAACACAAACAAGCAAAGGTAGATGGACTTCAAATTTAGCTGCTAATAACAAAGTTATAACCATGAAAATTACAACGAATATATTAATACAATTACCATGCAAGCGGCGTGAATTGGACTTCCTTGTAACACAGTTAGTAAGGACGCCACATTAACAAATTTCATTCCAGCAGGGTCCGACTGCGACGCCATATTATTAAAACCCCTATCCCCACATCCCCACTGCAATCGCACTAACAACAGAATGTCTTACTCTTACTAGAACAGAACAGAGTTTACTAATGAAAGAAAACACTAAGACCATAGAGTATTGAATTTATTCTCTATGTGTGTAGTATCTAAAAAGTTACACACACACATATATATATACATGTCTTTACAAATACAGTATGTAAATTAAGTCTTTAAACAAATCTGTATTTTTTAATCCGAAATAGATAGAAATCTTCTGTTTGTGGCATTGATTGTTAACAAAGGTTTTGTAATTTTTTTCATCAAAAATATGTTTAACCCCCCTAGCTGGGTAGGGGGTAGGGTGTGACTTATTTTTATCAAACAGTAACCCCTTTGAGTGACCTCTCATTTTGAAGGATTTGTTAAAAGAAACACAATGACGCAAACCCGAGGTGTATATCTCTTCCCCAGTCAAAATGACAGGTATTCCAAAATGTTATTTACTGTATGTGAAAAAGCACCAATTTCACAAATATGGAAACAAATCTGTATTTTTAAAACCGAAATAGATAGAAATATTCTGTTTGTGGAATTGGTTGTTAACATAGGTTCTGCAATTTTTTATATCAACAATATTTTTTAACCTCTCTTAACAGGGTAGGGGGTGGGGATGATTTATTTTTTAATAACAACCCCTATTGAGTGACCCCTCATTTTTTTTCCACGCCAGTGGCATTTCACAAGAGAAGTTACTAAATGTTAAGTGGTGTGTATGTGCCGGGGATTGAACACGTCCCTCCCGCACCGCAGTCCAAGACGCTAACCACTAGCAACACAACCAAGATTTTTGAAGGGTTTGTCAAAAGAAATACAATAATGGCTCAAGCCCGATGTAGATATTTCATCCCTAATCTAAATGGTGGGTATTCCAAAATTTGATTTATGTGAAAAAGTACCTACCCATAGTGTTGTCCATGCCTGCCATTTTGGTTAGGGGTGAGATATTAACCTCGGGTTTGCTTCATCGTGTTTATTTTGACAAGCCCTTCAAAATGAGTGGTCACTCTATAGGGATTCCTATTTGAAAAAAAAAATAAGTCACCCCCTACCCTGTTAGGGGGGTTAAACATGTTTTTAGTGTAAACAATTGCGGAAACTTTGTTAAAAATTAAATTACATGAAATTAATGCTTTATTTTCCATTAGGCATGAAATGCAATAGGCATCGTCAAAACAAATAACAATTTAATATACAATTTTCATAGAAATTAAAACTATGCAAAAATCACACAGCAAACAAAACCAAAAGCAAACCATGCACAAAACTACTGTCAAAAGAAAACAATATGTTTCTTACATTGGAAAAACTCTCTCACAGTCTCCTTTGGAATGTCGAAGAAATCGCTGGTCTTATAAAGAGGGAAAGCCAATAAAAGTGCCCTGACATTGTTTTGGAATTTTCTGTTGGTTTGGTTCCAAGCTGTACAAGAAATGTGGTTAAAAAGCCTTATACTTAACTGGCTGGAATTTATTTTCGTTTTACTTAACTTAGCATAAGGTACATAAGGTATATTGTTCTTATTTCTGGTTTTGTGCATTATGATAATCACCCCTACGACTGGACTGAGTGACTGGAGATCATTTTTTACATGCACAACTTGAAACAAAAACATACAAACTACAAACAGTCATGATTTCCTCTTCCTCATTTACAAAGAGAGGTCTGCAAGGGACATCATACTCAGTGTTTGCTAGGATTCTACAGCTCTTTTTTGTATTAGCAATACATCATTAATTTCAGCAGACCCACCCCAGAGTCTGAGCCCATACAAAAGAACTCCTTGAAAAAAAGCTACATAGGCTTTTTTAAAACAGTTTTTATTTAGACAACTTTTTAGACTTCTCAAAAGGAAGATAACTCTGGAGAGTTTACTAAATACCAAGGTTATATTAGGGTTCCAAGGCAAATTTTGTATCAATGCAAATACCCAGGAGCTTAACAGAGGTCACACCTTGTTTAATGCTACAATCAGAATATTTCTATCTATTTCGATTTTTAAAATACAGATTTGTTTCAAGACTTAATTTACACACTGTACACTGTATGTAGGTTTGATTTTGATATTAAGAATGTAGTACCGGTATGGTTATTAAAATCAACATTTAGGGATGCACTGGTGGGGGGGGGGGGGGTGTTAAAGGACCGGTAGAGAGAGGTTTCCCCCAGAACCACGTGTTTTATTATCCAATTACTTGTTTATGATATTCAAATTAAGATCAAATTATCGCAATATTGTAGGAAGTGTCTGCAAAGATTATAAATGTGCACGATTACGAGACACGATCATGATATCTCTGCGATTTTGGGAAACATCGTCGATTTTGCCGGGATATAGAGATTATCATGATTAACCACCTCCATGATCGCAGAAAATGCTAAAGATTTTGCCACGATCGTGGGAGATAGTCACGATGCCTACAAAGCAACGGGGGAGCGCATACAGTTAGCTATCCACCATCACACGCCTTTAAGAACGCTATAAGGCTGGATGGTGTGCGAGATGGCAGAGTCTCTGACTCACACGGCAACCCCCTCAGTTGTTGGTGTTTCATCAAAATTACAACAGCCCCTGCAAGCCCACTACCCTTACAAAGATCTGATATCCGACAGCAAATAAGGCATGGCAAAGGCTTTCCGAGACAGTCTTTTCTCCATCCACACCCTCATAAAACTCCCTGACTTCGACGGGAAACACCTCCTAGATGTAACATTTTTACCAGGGTTACTTTGTTGACGAGCATAGCTGCTATGTGGATAAACTACATTAAATTTTAAAATAAATATTAACAACACGGAAAAAGAACAAAAACGGCAAACTTGTACCATAGACTAACCAACTTGTACCGTAGACTTCTTGTTCCATTGTAAATTTTGAAGCTCATCATTATCGAGTATAGTTCATGTCCTATGACACTGATCGCTATTCTCGATAAAATTTTATTTATATTATTTTAGGGTTAATTTAATGATTTTTGCTTTCTGCTTATGGTTATACTATATTACTAGGGGACGAGTTATTGTTTATTATTAGAACATTTTATTTGGTTAAAGGAGGTTTTAAATGACTGATATAAACAAATATTGTAAACAAAATACTATCTCTATGCAGTGCACCGGACGGAACTAACAATAAAATTGGCTTAAGCTGTTCCCTGTGGATGGAAAATCGACTAAGGGAGTAAGTTTTTATCTACGCTTATATCTTTACAAGAAAAAAATAAAACAAAACTTAGTGGGTGACTATGGAGATGATCTGGAGGTTTGTCGTCAAAATACTCTTTCACGGAGTAGTAGGCTTTTTGGATAAGCCTATCTCGTTAAACCCAGGCAAACTCTTTTCTCCGGAGGCAGCTCTCAGATTCAATCTCTGGGGGAAGCTTATTGTAAAAAAAACTTCCAAAAATCGGCGCTGTGTTCCTAAAATGCGGGGAATATTGAATTATCAATTTTTTTCGCTTCTGCTACGTGTATTAAAGTTACCTATGAAAAATCTCCTCTGGTCCTGGTCTTTATAGTAGGTAGCTCAATATTCGACCTGACATGTAGGGAGGACACTACCCAATAACAGTATATGCACTTTTCCTTTCAGTCTACACAGCATAATATAATAGCTAGTATAAAGGATGTTATTGTTTCAAATGATATTTACCTTTGATCCAATAACAATTTTCAAAATGGCGGACATTTAAAATCTTTAAATTGAAATTAATAAAAAGTAGTTGATTTTATTGAAACATTTCAGGAACACCTTAATTTAGCATTTCAAATTTCCAATCAAACGACACCTAGTTCAAAAAGATTGGCAAGTTCAGATTTAAGGCTGCGCCCTATACACTGTCTAGCGTGCGCAAATGCAAGGGGTTTAGTTCTTACTGATTGTAGCCCCAATTTTTAACCGATTTAAAAGATCTTGGTGTCATATTGTTCGTTAAATATTATTGTAGTTTTGCAGTTTTTTAAATATTGATAATTCAAAAAATGTTGGGCTCAAAGGTTGGCAAAAATGTTAAGTACACGTTTTTATCATAAGTTTTTACGCATACAAATAATTTTTAGAGAAAAAAAACAGGAAAAGTACATAGATTCTTAAAAACAAGAATCTGCAGTTGGTTTATAAATATTTTTAAGAATAACGATGTAATCACCCAGATTCGAAAGGCTTGCAATCGCTCTTCATGGCGCTGTTCAATGCAATGGTATAGGGACATCGGCGTTCAGCAGTTTTATATTGAGAAATCCGAGCTGAGGTAGAGCTGAAACTTAACTGAAATATCACGATTTTTAGTTGTACAATGAGGCAAACCTGACTAGCTTAGCCTTATTCTACTCCATTTTACTACAAAAAATTGTGATATTTCTGTTATTTTTATTCAATATTTTTGAACTTTGTGTCGTTTTATAGGAAATTTTAAATACTAAATAAAAGTGTGTGATTTAAAAACTTAAGATAAAAATGTTTATGTAAAAATAGGACCTTTTCCGTTAATTCACTACCACTAGTTTTTAAAGCAATAGATTATTAGCAATAGAAGTGGTAGTGAATTAAATTTTCATAATGACGTTCTTTGGTCCAGGATCACTTCTTGAAAATTAAAATGGTAAAAGATTACCTGTTTCCGTCTATGATCCTAAATTTGTAGTAATGAGCAACGGTTTCGAGATTATCACCTCATCATCAGGCTCTTGTCACTCTTGCGAGGTCGTCGAGTTTTATAAACACACAAAACACTGTCATTTAAATATGTCTTGGGTTTTATTTATTTAAATGTCAGTGTTTTGTGTGTTTATAAAACTCGACGACCTCGCAAGAGTGACAAGAGTCTGATGATGAGGTGATAACCTCGAAACCGTTGCTCATTACTACAAATTTAGGATCATAGACGGAAACAGGTAATCTTATACCAGTTTAATTAAATTTTGGTTACGTTAGGCTAGTATAGAGTTAGAAAAACTTAAGCTAACCACATTCCACTATTGGAAGTGAATCAAGGGAAAAGGTCCAGAAAATACAAAATTGCGGGTATGTGGATAACAAAGAGATTTTAGAAAAAGTTTGATTCATGATTTTCTCTTCCTTTTTGAGCCAAGGAATCACTACGTAAATTATGTCCCCAATTTTTTGAACACCCATATATTGTAAGCTAATATTTTAGAATGAACAAAACATTTTTTGCTACCAAAAACTTTTAATAAGTCATACAACATTCCCGAAATTGTTAAATTCTTTTAATGAAAGAGCTTCAAAATGAACTTATCACTTAAATTTACTATGGTATTGTTAATTGTAAACACTTAACATCCAATTTTTGGACTGCGAGTTTTTCCAGTTTCCAGTAATAAATTTAACATTTAAGTATTATTTTTTATCCATAGGATATTTTTTATTATTTGGAATTTTAATATAGCATCAAAGAAATACTTGTATAAACAATAGGACAGGAAGATTGGAAATAAATATAGTAAAAATGAAAAACTTTATTTTATTACAAGTGACACTACTAGGTGCCCAATCAAGCAAAACTGAATTGCAGTACTGCAGAAAAAAGGCTCATCTTATTTGACTAGTTATACATAGAGTTTTTAATACACACAACACAAAAAAATGTCATGAATTGTGTTGAAGACACTGAGTAAAGTGTGTTGACCTTTTCTAAACAAGACTGATGAGAAGTGGTAAAATTTAAGGGAGAACTAAATACTTTTGTCTGGCGTCCATGTCCACATAACATTCAGTAAATAGTTTCATGACAACGAAAACGCGAGCCATTCTTGTATAACACATTTTACAAACTGTTTTGAAATGATTTTGGTCACCTATTGAAAAAGCCTTTTACCGATTTCATCATTTGTTCAGCTAACGTATTTATTTACCATAAATTAAAATATATCTGAGTATACCTCAAATTTTACTGTTTAATGCAATAACAATCGTGACTTATGAAGATCATATCCTGCTACTTTCACAGACAATTCAGTCTTTGATATTCAAGCTTAGAGTTCAAATGTTGTGGTCTTTTAAATATTAAAGTAACACATCCGTTAATGATAAATTTCAGCCTTGCCTACAATATTGCATCATTGCAACGTGTGACATCCTTTTAAGTTAAGAGAAGATTGTTATGGAAGTGTAAGTGTTCTGATAGTATTGAACCATTACACAGTTTGGCATAACTGACAGTTAAGATGAATTCAGTCGAAATATTTGGAAAGTTATCCATTTGTAGCCAAGAATGTCACCTTGCCAAGGTCCACCCACTAATCAAGGGACAACCATGGTCAAAAGATGCAATTGACTATTTCAAATTAACTGTACACTACAAATGCTCGCTTGTATTCCATCAAAGTTGTTGAATCCCATGATAATAATATGAAAAACAAGTCATTCTTATCAGTGGTTTTATTTGATGATGGTCCTGTGACAATCCATGATGCATTGGTTGCTCGTGGCTTGGCCTGGACTAAAAAATCTGCTGATTATGTGTCATCAACCAGCAGTGACCTCTTTCACTCCACTGAAGATGTCAGCACTCTCCTAGTGTGCCTAATCCGTTACTTGAAAATTTCAATGAATGGGATAGCTTTGATCCTATGAAGGAGGACTTAGAAAGCATACGTAACAATCCAGCAATCAACATGGAAGATGCTTGTGTAGCCGTTAGTGGCTACAGCGCAAAATATGAACAGCGTATATCCAAGTTCCATGCTAGAAGAGGGTTGTGCCACAAGAACTGTACAAGAGAACACACAAAGCTCAATCCAGATGGTGTAACAACAGATCAAGTAGAAATGTATAATGCTGAGAGTTTTCCCCAGATATATCTGCCAAAAGCTGGGGAAATTGTGAAGTTAAAAATCACCCAAGTGGAAACCATCACTACCTTCTTTGCCCAGCTGGCAGAGTGAAAAGGTATTTCCCTTGAAGATGAATTTGAGAATGACCCGGAGACACTAACAAATCTTGTGAATGCGATAAATAGTCCTCAGAATGTAATGTTGTATAAAAAACTGGCCCTTTCTTCACCGATTGGTAAGATGGCACTGGCCAAAGAACCTGCCACCAAGCTGTGGCACCTTGCTTGTGTCATAGGTGAAGAGGAAGACATTCCTGAGTATGAGGTAATGTTTGTGGATTTTGGCACCGCAGCCACTGTACAACATCAACACTTGAGAGCGATGGAAAACAGGTCCATACATCTTCCTTGCCAGGCTGTTGAATGATGCTTAGCCAACGTGAATCCTGTGAAAGATGAAAGTACAGAAGAGGGTGTAGCAATGTTAAGAGACATATTGATAAATCAAGTAGTGATAGCAAGGATTTATCAAAGTCAAGAAGACAACAGAAGATGAATACATACAGATTGAATCCTCTTCCATCTATTTAGAAGAAACAATAAAAAAGAAAAGAACCCTTGGTAAGTTAAAATAGTGTAATTCTCAATAATTCTTCAAGTTACTAAGGCTCTCAACTCAACCTATAGTTACTTTTTAATTTCACAATAACATGTGGCAATGGCCAGAACATTATCTTACATTGTTTTTTATAACAATAGAGAACTGAGACGGACTATAACTTGTACATAAATAACTTAAACCAGCTTTTAAATAGTACTTCTAGTATGGAAAAAGTAACCACCTAAAGAGAGTAATATAACCACTAACTATGATGCTAAAAATAGTTACTTAACCCTTTGCGGTCGTATTTATCGTTCTCTTTTCCTTCCCTATAGATCGGGAAGGCCAGCTTGTGATGTGCAATTGTCCTTTTTAAAGCCTTTTAATTTGTAATAAATTTATATTTATGATTTTAAATGGCCTCAAGTAGAGTCCTAACATCCGATACTATACGGGATTTATTCAAGTAGACGAAGATGATCTTTCCATTTTGTTTGAGTTGAAGGTGTAGAGGAAGATCAGCATTTTATTTTAACGGTTTTTATATACAATACTACTTTATATTATTTTATTTTAAGTACTAAGCTTTGAAATCAATATTAAATATTAGCATCACTAAACTCATATAAAGCTGGTAATTTGCATAATACTGTACAATAGTCATAATAACTTATAAAATATATTGTAAACAAGAGTAGTAATAATAGCGGCCAAACCAGGAAAGGAGGGGGCGCTACTATGAGTGGCCCTGCCGAATTATGGGCACACCAATTCATATATATATTACAACTTGTCACGTTACGGATCTCGTGGCCAAACGTAGTGACCTTTCGACCACAAAGGGTTAAGAGGCTAATTGACTACAAGATATTCAGTACAACGAGGCATACATTAAAATGAAACCATTCAGTTCTGATGCACAGAATATGTACTGTCATGAAATCTATGCCTTTCTATGTTGACAATAACAAAATAATACATTTTAAATTACAAACATCATTTTAAATCCCATAAAAAAAGAAACAAAATAACAGTTAAACTACAATGTGATGGATATAACATTTACTCGTATGGACATTCATGGAAAGTCACATTTAAATGTAAAGTACCCATTTGATCAAAACTTACTTAACCCATACAACAGCATTCCAAGGCTGAATAAAAAAGTTTGTTTCTAAAGTCAACCCGATGACTAACACTTTCATCAATTAAATTTAATGCAAGGTTTTTAAAATCTGACAAATCTTGTCAAAACACTCTTCTTTTTTCTTATTGATCGCACTTTCAGCTTCTGCAAATTGGTTCCTTCCAACTTTTCCTGGAATGACTTTTTCTGTATAAAATGTTTGTTGCTGAGTGTGGTACTCCTTCAATTGCCTGTAAACATTCAGTTTTTTTAGAATGGCATAAACTTTTTGAAGATGTATGTAAACTTCCAACTTAATCTCTAACATTTTACTAAGCACCAGAGCTATTAAATAAGACAAAGGAATTTCAAGAACTTCTTGACAGTTATAATTAATCACAGCACAGGTGACAATATTTTAATTTATAACAAAACTATGGGCAAAATTTTATGGTGGCCCATACCACCATCAAGGATTACTTTTATAATATCAACTGGAACCCATGAACCATTATAAGTTAAAAATGTAGAATAAGCATGTCACTTTAAGTAACTATGTTTATTAATTCACATTTAAGGCAATATAACAAATCTATGCAGAGCTATTTTCCATAATGATCTTTATGCTTACTACCAACAATATTTATATCAAAACTTGTGTTTCTGGCCCCTGGACTATATTAGGTTTAGACAACAATAGGTATTTTACATACCTCAGTAAAATATTCCAACGATTAATATTACTCATCAGCTTACATGTTTCGTTGCGAAGACAAGATTTTCGAAGCTTGCAACTCATCAAAAAAACATTGAAATGGTACGAATACAAAATAAACATTTAGATAGCGCTATCATGATACTGATTTGGTCCGGCGAGGCGCGGGGTTGGTAGCAGATATCAGGTATCACTGATGTTGATTTTTTTTTTTTTAAAGATTGGCGGCCTCTTTTAACCTTGCATTTGCCCGTCCACATAGACTAAGCGCCTGTGCGTGGATCGTTAACAGCAAAGCAAGGAGTGAGCCGGTACAGTACAAAGGTGAACTGTACTGATAAAATGTTATCGGCAGTGACCAGGATCCGAACCCACGACATCGCTGCCTTGGGCCCGAAGTCCGCGACGCTACCGACTGAGCCACCGACTCACTTATGTTATCAGATGTTCTTGAGTTTATGATTGTATTGAAAATCGAGTGAGACTGGAACTGTTATTTTTTATTAAGGATGTGGTCCTTACACAGTTCGTCATTATAAATTTTATAAATCTCGAATTCCTCCAAGGTGTCAAGTTTACTACCTTTCCCACAGCCATGTAAAATTTCTAAACCTTTGTCAATGCTGCTCATTGATTTATTTGAGTCGACCAGGTGTTGGGCACCTTATTCGATGGCAACAACAGGCAATTAAACCTCCTACTCAAACTATTTGAATAACATCGCACCCAAATTAAAGTTTACTTTAGAAATTGAGTCAGACAATAGAATAAATTTCCTAGACCTCACAATCACGAAGAACAACACAAATTTGATTATAGCATTTACAAAAAAACCAACCACTTCAACTCAAACAATTCACTCCACATCTTACCATCAGTTTTCACAAAAAATAGCAGCCTACAACTCTATGATTCAAAGAATGTTAACTGTTCCATTAAGCCACACAACATAGATTGGTAAATATATCAAAGAATGCTCATTAATAAAGTATATAGCTTACAACCAATGGTTACAAACACGATTTGGAACACAGATTAATCAACAAATGTAAGAACAAAAGAAAGCAAGATACTAAACCAGATAAGAGAGAGAGAAAATATGTTTGCGTGGAGTACAGCCACTCTATTGAAAACAGTCTTAAAAAAGAATTAAATAGGCAAGGCATCGACTTAACGTTTCAAACCACCAACCGCACTAGGAACATCTTGCATAATAAAGGGTCCAGCAATAAAGTAAACAATACTGGTGTTTACAAGAACAGTTGCCCAGATTGCCCACGCAAATATATAAGCCAGATGGGTCGGGCATTTAATCCCCGTTACAGAGAACACAGGCCAACTCCAAAAATGATCAGTGAAAAATCAGCCTTTGCCCTACACCTGGTCGACTCAAGTAACTCATTGAGCAGCATTGACAAAGATTTAGAAATTTTACATGTCTGTGGAAAAGGTGGTAAACTTCACACCTTGGAGGAGTTCGAGATTTATAAAATTTATAATGACGAACAGTTTAAGGACCACATCCTTAACCCTTTCAGTGCTATGAAACGATATATCGTTGTTTTAAAAAAAACCCTAAGGGATATAGAGAGGAAGGTTATTTAAAAAAAAATAGCAAAACGGCCATTGGTGACCTGCATGTTCATAGGATACACTACCAACCACTTAGCTAAAAGATTCGCCCAATCCGATGGTTTCGAGGTGTATGTCTAAACCAAGGATTATGAACACCTCACTATGCCCCAGTGGTTGTAGTATATCGCTACAAACACACAGGTCACCAATTATTTGCCACACAGGACGGGATTCGAACCCGAGCAGACGAATGCCACTGGCCAAGTGACACACGCCCTAGCCTTCTCGGCTATCTGTGCTTGAAGACTGGGGAGTCAAAACCCGGTATTTAAGCTGTCGCCACCGATTGCGAACAGATGGCGCTGCAGATGGTTGTTCAATGTGTTACTAGGTAGCAGCACCAGCTAGTCACGGACTATTTAGATGCAATCTTTTAGTTTTAGTAGTAGTAAATGTGTTCCTGAGACTTTGCTGCAAAACATTAGTTTCCCTAAAATTGCTATATTACAATAACCTCGTCCAACTAAATCAGGGTTAAATTCAATATTACATTGTAAACTATATGTCTTTTGATTTTGTGAGATTTCGGTTTCAAATAATGCTATCAGAACATAAAAATTTATAGGAAAACCAGGAAAATTACAACAAAAACTACAAATACCGGGATTTATCTTTCTTATATATTTTCTTATTGTGTTATTATTCAAAATTAGCCTAATTAATAAAATAGTGACAACATGACAGTTAAAATTCAACAACGTGTAATGGAATTAAAAGGCAAACAAAAAAGTCTTACAAAATATGAATTATTGGCCTAGCACTATTTGGGTTAATGAAAAATAACAGTTCCGGTCTTACTCGATTTTCAATACAATCATAAACTTAGGAACAGCTGATCGAAGATCTGATAACAGTAGAGGAGACGACGTGACGTAGACCTCCTACCAACACCAGACCAAATCAGTATCATGATAGAGCTATCTAAATGTTTATTGTGTATTTCTACCATTTTAATGTTTTTTGTGTTCGTATTGTCCGTGTTTTAAATGTGTTTTTGACAAGTTGCAAGCTTTGAAAATCTTGTCTTCGCAACAAAACATGTAAGCTGATGATCAATATTAATCGTTGGACTATTTGACGGAGGTATGTAAAAAAACAATTATTGTCTTAATATTTATATATTGCATGTGTATATTACTAGCAACAATGATTGTTACAATGGTTCTCTCACCACTGCTAGTTGCTGATGGACCAATAGAAATACAGCTTATTGTTATATCAGAGTCCTACTAATCCAAACTGATTCAGACTGTTTGAATTACCAAATTGTTCATATTAGCAGTAAAATTTTATCAAAACTAAGATGATTGAGCCATATAAAAATAACTTACTTATCTAGCTTTTGCAGTTCAGAAACTCTCTCAGCAAGTTCAGGAGCATCCACTTTCAGCTTTGCCAGAAGTTCAGTCATGTGAGCAGTTTCTGTTTTGTGCTCTTGGTTCAGGGCTTTCACAGCACTCTAAAACAGAAATCAAGCTCAAACTTGTAGCTGCTTTATTTGTGCTTTAAAATGGGCAAGGATGCAGAAAATGAGAATGTAGTTGTTTATGCAAATGCAAAGTGAAGTAGTTTTAATGTTACAATTATGTTTTCCTACAGTTACTTGACAAAGCGGACTTTCTTGCACTGATTATAGCACGCAAAGTAGCTAATTCCTGCATTTACTTATTTTTCCGCACTCCAGTATTTCAACCAAACAACAAAAAATTCCTTGTATTAGGCACGTAATGAGTATTTGCTTGAAAACAAGTAGGAAACAATCAAAGATACTACGACTACAATCAACTGGTGCAGTGTTTCCAAACCTTTTACTATTGATACTACAACTTACTTAACCTGTAAACCTGTTTACGCGTGTTAACATTCTAATGTCGTTCAACGCTTGGATTTAACCTAACCTAAAACATGTTGTTTAGTGTTTGAAAGACTAATTATGTATATGCTTTATAGTAACTGCAGGAAAAATATAATGTGTAACGCGAGTGCAAAGTGCCTTTGCACATTAGTTACACAAATAACTATATAATCACAAAGGTAACTAACTAACTTTAGATAGCTATCAAAATATTCTTTTTAGTTAGTCAAACCATAATAAATGTAATCACTTTTCAAAATGTTGATAAACTGATGAAAATATTATAGTTCCATTTGTTGTTAAGGACACTAAACAATATTTACTGCCCGCAATTTAAGACTTTTCAAAACTTGGGGCAAAGCCCAAAATCAACATAACATATCAAAGCTGAAATATGTCTGTTGCACTCCTTGACATTATAGCTATCTTTGTGTGAATTTTAATCCGATTTATCAGGCATTTCTTGAATCTTATTAGAACAGATACACCACCAAACTTTATGTAATAGTACGGATAAATCTGAAGGGAATTTTTCTTCCAACAAAAGAATGTATCAAAATCACCAATCGGACTAACTTCATTGGAGCGACAAAACTATCATCAGTTAACTATTTAAGTGTATAATAAAAATTACGTCACAATTTCCACACAATTTGTTGGCTAAATTTGTTCAAACAGATCTCAGAATCAATAGAAAACTGTAGTATCTAATAATAGTTTAAAAAGGGGAGGATACATTTTGTTAGGTTAAACCTCTTGCAACAACTCTTTTTTTGCTGCATTTGTTGTTTAACTCCAAAATAGCATTACTGAAATCTTAGGCAACATAATACTATTGATTTATGAATACATTTACCGACAAGTTAAAAATATCTTACCAAGAAGGAAGGCACTTCCTTGTTGGTCTTCAGTTTTTGAAGGAGATCATTAAAGGAACTGTAAATCGCCCTTCGCTTTTCCTGGATAAGAATGATTTTATCACATAGTCCAGAGACCCGCATCTTGTTTTCACTTGTTTCATCCTGAAAATTATAAAAATGAACCCACAATGAATTAAATTAGCTGGTTAAGAACTTATTTGTAGGAGTCAACATTTAATCTTTAATGTAATACGTTAATTAAACAAATTAATATTCAACAAGTGTGCATTATTTGAAGTAGTGTTAGTGGTAGCATAGACAATATGGGCTACTTTATTAACATTTTCATTGATGATGGATAGTGCAATGCGTCAAATTACACTATGTTAGAGTTGATTTAGTAGGCCTATAATTCTTTTTCTGTGTAATACGGATGCTGTCAAAGTTTTCTTCAACTTAGTGGCTGGTTCATTCTTGAGGTTGTTTGAAAAATGGTTGTGGAACAGTGCACCCCTGTAAGATGAATTATTTTGTACAGACGGTGTACTGGGAGGTGTGTCTTGTGTGATGGGGGTGAAAATATTAATTTATTCTTTGACGAGTGGAGACTACTTGAATTTTTGTATTGCCTCGCGGATGTAAAAGGTGTCACTGTGATTATTTTCAGTACAGTAAGTTGAACACATCACGGCAGCTTTCTCCCCATCTGAGACCTGCTAGGCATCTTATCACCCTTTTTTATACACAAGTACTTTCTCCAAGTTAGTATTAGTGGTTCCTGCTCACACCACTATGAGGTGGCTCACAACAAGAGAGTGGTTAGCAGTGTTTGTCCATAATTCTCCTGATGACGTAGGCCTATATGCCAGGGAAGAGATTCTTGAACAGAGGTTCTTACATGTTGCTGCAATTTGAGTTTTTGATCTAAATTACACCAAGGTACTTTGTGTGTACTCAGCTTGAATGTCTGGCAGTGTTAGGCTCACATTTTTCCACTTTTGTTTTCGGTGGTATAATTAATTAGGATGGTTTTACTCCCGTTTGGTGCTAGTTCATTGTTACAGTATTCTTTTGTTCAACTGAAGGTTGCGTTGGTGTGTATGAGTCTAGTGGAGTGGAATCAGAGAAATTCAATCTATTAAGGGTTTCGATTTTTTAAGATTCAATTAATACAGCTTCTCAGTATCACATTGAGTATCTGTCATTATATTAATGAATAAATGACACAGTTAAATCAACCTAACCCATCTAGAAAATAGGTTAAGTTGATTTAAAAAGGAGAATAGCAATATGAAATGAAATAGCGTTTTATTTTCAAAATTCTCAATACAAATTTAAAGTTTGTCCCACCCAGGGAATGTCCCCACGCTCTAGAGCAATAACCTCTCGGTCGTCTGCCGGGTTGGCACGTCTAAAACTAAATCTTACATAACAGTTCTCAAACAATAAATTAATTCTGTTAAAATAAAATTGAACATCTTCCTTAAACTAACAATATATAATCACGATTTTAAAGTTGAAAAATAGGAATACAATTTAACCAGTTTGTCTTAATTTCTGTAGTTAAATTGGTTTATTTTTATGGTGTTGAGATATCAAAATTCTGTATGTTTTTTTTTTTTAAAGCACGAGCCTAGGATTGTTTTTTACATTACTTCAGGCTAGACCTAGGGGTCGCGGCATTATCATTATTATTATGAGAGGTATGTAGGAGCAATTTAATTTTTATAATTTTTGTTTTACAATAATTTAAAAACAATTTTCCGGGGATAGCCGTGGGAATCATTTCTCAGCATATAATATGACTGTACCATGCATTTTTATTTTTCAGAATTTAATTTATGTCAAGGAAAAAATTACAGACTTTTGTTGTTTTAGTGACATTCATAAATCAAACAAAAAATTCCAAAAAAATTAGTTTTCCTATCCCAAGACTAGAAAAGTATGAAAAGAGTCACAAATATCAACAAATAATTTTTTTTAACGAAATTCCAGAATCATTTAAGTTGATAGATTTAAAATCATTTACAGATAATATTCATGATGGCTTATTAGCAACACATTTTATTCTACAAAGGATTTTTTAGAATGTGATATACTGTATAGTGTAAACTAAGTGTTGGGTCCTTTATTGACTTTGTACATCTTGTTGTAAACTTTTTATTGAATTGTTTATTTATTTTGTTGTTACTACTTTCAATTTATATTGATTTTACTTTATTGTTATTATTATTATCTTGGTACAGTCTTTCAGTGAATAACTGATGAAGCCTATTGTAATAATGTATTACTTAATGGTGAATAAACTTCTTGATTCTTGAAACAGCAGCGACTTTCTATCAATAGTGTCGAATGCTGCCGAGAAGTCGACAAAGAAAGCATATAGCTTACCTCCGGTCCTTGCCAGCCTTAGACGCAAAATCGCATTTACGTTAAAGATATTGTCAATCGTTGAATATCGTTGAAATCCCGCCTGAAATTCACTTTTTAGCTGCCTGTCATTAGCCCAATTACTAAACCATGTATCTAAATAAATATATAGGATGGAGAGGACACAGCTAACTCACCTGATGAAAGGTTGCAGACGAGTCAAAGAACACATAAAATATACACACACATTAAAATATTTGATATTTCACCTCTTTCAGAGCCTTCTTCAGAAGTAGGCCTAGAACAGAGATGTCTGAAATAGGTGAAATATCAAGTATTTTGTGTGTATATATATATTTTACGTGTTCTTTGACTCGTCTGCAACCTTTCACCAGGTGAGTTAACTGTGTCCTCTCCATCCTATATATTTATTTAATCCAAGCATGATGCTTTTTCCTAAAAACTTAACCTTGTATCTAAAATTTGTATAAAAATCTTAGCTACATAGTTGATAAAGGACAAACCTCTATAATTATTGACGTCGTTACTGTTGCCTTTTTCATGTAAAGGAAGAATAATAGACTCCTTGAAACTTTATGGGAGATAACCACTCTTAAAATACTATTATCAACATAGATAAGACTAGGGGTGTGCGAAGCAGCAAAAAATTTTCGATTCGAAGCAACGATTCGATTCAAAAGATTTTCGATTCGATTCGATGCAACTCGATTCGAAGCAATACGGTATTTTTCTATTCATAATTGTCAATTGAGTGGATTAACAATAATTAAAATTTATCACATTTGTGTAATACAAATTTTTGTTGATGTGGTATTAGGCCTATTCATACTTACATATGAATTTTAGGTGAAAAAATATTTATTTTCAATCATATGTATTAGAATAACTGCTGGAAATACCAGTGAGCTGCTTTACTTGCCTATTTCATAATTTTTACTTGGAATTGGCTCAACTGCAAGAAAGAAGAAAATATTTTTTTTATCAAGACATTCATTCCCATTTTAATAACTGTTTAAATAACTAAATAGGTACCGGTAGCTAAATTACAACAAATTTGAATGGAACTTAATATAAAAAGACCATTAAGAAATAAATTTACATATCACAAGTTTAGGGCCTGTGGACCGGCTTCAGGACTGCAAGCAAGAAGAAAATAAAAATAATATGTTTCCACCATGCAACATGTATCATTCATTCCCTGCCTCCTAACCTCCTTAGTATAATAACCTCACACTTACATTATTTGTTACATCATCATAAATAAAGAATTATTATTGGCATCAGTAGGCCTACAGCTTTACATAGGCATTATTTTTATAGGGCCTAAAAATAAAATAGTAATAGGCTAGAAGCAACATGTCAAGTGGAGAACTCATTGAAGAAAAGATATTGTGTAAACTAATTTCCTATAAAACTCAAAAACAGTAAATAACATACAAACATTGTTTATGGTATAATTAATAAGGACTAAAAAATGCATATCATGTCATACAGTAGTATAGACCTACAGGTACTGCAAGAGATTAAAATCCTAAAACAACTGATTTTGATAGCTAATGAATGAAAAGAATTAAAAATCCATAAAATGAAGCTAAACAATATCACAACTAATTAGGTACCCGAAAAGTAACTCTTAAATAATATATAGAAGATTAAAATAATATTAAATCAAGAGACAAGAAAGTTAAATGCTATCTTCTAGTGCCCTTGGCAACACAGGTCAATGTTTTTAAACTACCCTCAATGTTTTTGGAACAGCAGGGCCTTTTTCTCTTAAGGAAGGGTAGTAGTATGTCAACAAAAACAATGAATCAGTCTCACCAGCCAGGCCCGGGCAACGATGTGTGAATTCAAGGTCATAGACCCTCCCCCTCCCCTCTTACACCACCCGGTTGCTACCCAGTTGCTTCAATTGCTGACAAAATGCAAGTGATGAAACAAGGAAGTAGAGACAAAGAAATATATTTCTTTATTCAAAAACACAAAACTGTTAGAGATTATTTTCAAAGAAATTAATTCAATGTAATTTGTGAGTTGTAAATATTGTATTGGATCTTAGAAATATATTTTTTTAACCCTATTTAACCAAGATACAGATCTGTTCACTATATCAGATATTTCTTTTGTTTATAATTTATTATGTAAAATACTAAAATATATTTTTAATTAGGTATTGAATGAACAATAAATGATTATACTAGTATGTCTGGATAAATAGTCTTTCTATTCTTTTGACTTTGTTTTCTTTGCACTGTTAGTGTTGCGTCACGGCTTTTGTCTTGTTACTCTTATCAGTAGACGACTAGACCTGGCTCTGGCTAGTGGCAGTGCGGCAATTGCTCTGTTGTGTCTTTATTAAAGGTCGTGAGCCAACTTAATTTTTAATTCTCATTTGAACATTTTAATTCCTCTGTAATAGATATAATAATATAAGAGTGTTTCTTTGGAAATAAATTATTCTTTTTTTTCTTTTGCCCCAACAAAAATTCGGGGACGGGGACCGACAGACACCTAACAAAAATACCAAATGTATCAGTCTATAACATTGATCTTACTAGTTAAGTATTAAGTAACAATTTTTCAGACTTATTTTTAAAATGATTTTGGAGTAACCTACCTTGTTTTGGCTAGGTTCACAGTAGTAAAATATTTCACACACTGCTTACATCAAGACAAAAAACAAAACCTCTAAAAAAAATATAAAACAATTAAAGCTATATTTAATGCAAAGAATGTATTAAATAAGAACGCCTTCGTATAGGAAACGCAACAGCAACGCGCTCCTGTATTGCGGGTATTGCATTGACTTTCTGCAGGCGTTTTTCGTATATGGATACTGACTCCCTCGTGAATCGAATCGTTTTTTGACCACCACTGAATCGAATCGCGATTCGATGCATCGAATCGAATTGAATCGAAATTTCGATGCATTTTCGATGCATCGCACACCCCTAGATAAGACTATTAAGTGTAGGGAACCGGGGTATTTAAAAAAACTCAAATGGCAACCTATCAATGTCCGGTGCATTGCCGTTTTTTACCCTTAACAAAACTGAAAGTATACTCCCCATTTTATCTCCGTTAGTCCTTCCATTTAAAACTACAATACCCAAACTATCCATTAATTCTAATACTTTACGACCTTTCTGATTTGTTATTAAGTCTTTTGACTGTATCTCAAAATTAACATTAGAATAGCAATATTTAAGTTACGAAACAAGGAACCACAAAAAGAACAGAATTCTAGAGAAGGTATTTTAACTTACTTTTGAAATGGAGAAGTCCAATCTGACGTAGATGACGACAAAGATGAACAGGATGTAGAAGAATACGACCACCAAAAGAGGCTCTTGAAGCATGAGGATTCGAGGGAAAACATAGTTAAGCTGTAACATAAATAACAATTAAATATCCAAATTTATAATAACACTTATAACATTGTGCAACACTTGTAACATTGATACATCAACTAAAAGTCCTTAGACAGTTTCTATAGAATTACTTGTTCAAGTAAAAGTAGTTCCAGTTATTTGTTTAGTAAAAGTAAGTTAAATAGATTTGATTATACTAAATTTGGAACATAACAAATTATTCATCAGGTGTTAAATTTCTCATTCAGAACTAAATGGCCTGATTAAAAAAATTAGTTTTAAATTTAAATAAATAACAGTTATTGTGGTAGGAAAAGCTGTAACCTTGTCAGAGCTAATGGAAAATTGTGACAATGCACACATCAACATTGACATTTCTGTCGTAGCTACAAAGATGATTTATATGGCTTTCTGTGGCCTATTGCTCATACCATAACATATATTTCACCGAGTGACTTTTTTATTAATTAGTATTTATCTAGGGTTAAAGTTTTTAACTACTGATAATGATGATTGATGGGCCGATTCCCGAATTGGTCGATTCCGATACCGATTACGGTTCTACAACCTTGGTTTTGATTCTCGATTCCGCATTTGATACAGATACCTGTTAAAAATTTATTTATCATATTCTCACTATCCCTATAAATAAAGGAGCATGTTATTTTTATTTAATCTTTATACAAAACAATAAGATAACTGCATTGCTATTGATTAAGGTTACATAGATTAGGTTAGCCTATAAGAAAAATAAGATAGGCTAATTCAAGAAGACATGCATTTTAACATATTTTATTAAATTCAATTGAGACAACAATCACCGGTTTAGGTAGGCCTACAATTTTCACTGAGTTTTTTTTTTTTTTTTTTGCATGAGAATTCGTACCTCTAGGCCTACAATGAATGTTCCATATTGCTTGAGTTATAGACTCAAAGTCATCTTCAATATTGTCATCATCAATATCACTTAAATTACTTAAAGAACCACATAAAATTCATGGAATTTGTCACATCACTAGAACGAAGATCATAATCCATTTTGAACAACACAATACGCACGCACAGCAAACAAACAACAAAACAACAACATGGCGGCAACTAGAGTTCTGTTCTACCAACTAGTTGTCAGTCAGTTGAACACAACATGTAATTCGTTGTGAAATGCAACGGCACTTGTAAAATGCAAAAGCAAGCTATTTTGGATCATAAAACTATTACGAATGTGAGATAATGAACTTGGAATTATTTATATTAGCTGACTTCAGAGTATTCTAAATAACTATGACTTTTGAAAGAAAAAGAAAAAAGTGTTGGGAAAAAATATCAACCATTAGCTAACCACTTTAACCACACTTACTTATACTTTAATCACTTTAACCTAACAATATTTCAAATGCGCTTTAAAGGAAATTTTCCCAAATTTTTGTAATTTTGAACCACTTTCCTGACGCTAAATTAATTTTCCTTTACATTCCAGGTCTGCAGACACCCTGTCAAACATGTGAATCAACCCAAAATGTATTGATATGCACAAAAGAGTAGAAACCAGTCACCTCAAAGTCTTGAATGTGGTTCTCCACGACATTGGTCTTGCGGACACTGACGACGGGGCGGCCCTTGGTATCCAGGTAGGTGTAGTGGAGGTAGTCGGGGAGCCGCTGTACTGGGTAGGGAGTCTCCAGCTGAAGGTTATGACTACCCTCAGGCAGTATAACCTTGGTGATGAGTTCCTCCACTACCATATCATCAAACACATGATCCACCAGCCTCATCTTCAACTTGTAGTTATCACCTGCAATTAAAACAGTATAGCGTTATCGTGCCAGTAACCCGTCGGAATATGGTGTCGAGCTTCTGGCACTCCGACATCCAGGAGCACAAGTCTTAAAAGTGATTTAGTGGAAATTATACGATAGAAAGTGCAAATTATGATATAGTAGCGCTTATTGAGCTTGTTGAGTCAAAACCTTGCTTTTGGAATGAAACCATTAATGAGAGACAACATAAAGTTCATAAAAGCCGACAGCCTCGAAACCAAACTTCTAAATGGCCACTTGTGATTGGCGCATGCGCAAGACGGCACAGTTGTTGAGAAGAGTGTGTCAGTGTAGTGCAAGTAGTACCAAAGTCTTCACAAACGCTAAGTATAGAATAGGCCTAAGCATGTTTCACCAAATTAAATTAGGGATGAGGAAGGGGCCAGAGAGAATCAGCTGAATTCTACTTTAGTTATTTAAGGATGATTATGTTTCACTGAGATAGTACTATGTAATGTGAGCCAGTTTCATTGAATTTAGCCTAATACTGGTTCACGAAGGTTTTTCAAAGTTAGTAAAAATAAACATTTAAACAAAAATACACGTAAAATACAAAACATTTATAGTTTTTTATTTTTTGTATTGTCTGTAAGCAGATATTTAAACCTTGTTCATAATACGTTAGAGTGATCTCCCACTGTAATTATTACTGAGAACTATCATTCTCATAATTGAAATACCTAGGTAGAAGAGGTACTCGTAGCTGGGAACGTTGTATCCCAGAACATAGTGGGTTTTCCATCCCCCGAAGAGAGGGAAACGAGGGCGTAGATCTAGCTCTACTGAGTCACTGAGAACTCGCATGTGAGAGGTAGAAATATTGCCGATCTCATCTCTGTAGTATACATCAGTTGCAGCAGCTGGTAGTACTGTCTAAAAAAGTCAACATATCAAAGTGTTTAGGTCAGATGACAAACTTTCATCAATTTATTAGAGGTATTCAAGTTAAAAATTCAATAATCTAAGAAATTAAAACAAATTATAATGCTTAAGAATATTTAATTGATTTATTGAAACAATTACTATAATACATATTATCATGAGAACCAATTTCTAATTTTTTTAACTTTCAACCTTTTCTATCAATTGTAAACAAGATTTTAAAGAAAGTAATAGACTCCAAAAAAATATACTATTATACTTATGTGGAGTATATCTATCTGCTTTTCTTCTATTCAAAAACTACTGGACCAATTTATCTGACATTTTAATTTTACAAACAACAAAAAATCGATGTTCCAATGAATGGCACAAGCACATACCAGTTTCTCTTCTAGCTTGAAGATTTTCAACCACCACTTCAACTTTAACTTCAGTTCTTCAAACATTCAAATTCAAAGGCTTAATTAAAGAAAAAAGGATTGATTGGATTCATGACATTAAAAACTCAATTCTTACATGTACTCATATCTGTGCTACTACAACATGTGTTATAGGTAGAGATGTATCGAATCTGAATGTCGAATCTACCAAATTCTAAGAAAAGATTCGGATTCAAGATTCCATTAAATCCAGGTCCGCAATCGATTTACGCATAGCTGGAACAAAGCCAAACTCGGTCTCAAAACTCAAGGCCATCACTTGAATTACGTCTTAGTCGAATATAAATTGTATTTTAAATAGGGACAGGCCGATAACAGGATTTCTTGATTTGATACCAGTTGTGAAATATTACTCACGATTATTGCTACCAATTTCCATATAAAAACTCATTTTTAAGGGAGTTGCCATGGTCAATGTTTTGTTGTTCGCTTAAATTCTGAATCAGGCAACCGGCGTGGTTCATGCCGGGCGTGGTTCATGCCGGGCGTGGTTCATGCCGGCCCAAAATTATCGTGCGCTCTCACTTATTTATCGTATCCAAGTCTGATAAGTAAACAGAATCAGGGAATCGCTCTTGCTCTTTACGAAACGAAATAATCATAGACTGAAAACATCCAAATTGAGGTAGCATTATGGCACGGCAACTCTACTAGAAAATCGAGACGCTGTAAAATGTTGTTATGTTGGTACCACTAGAAGAATCAACCAACTCATTGGCTGTTGGCTTAATTGCAGTCCCACAATCCCCTAGTTCCAAAGTACTATTCCCCTAGTATATATGGTGGCATTATTTTTAATCACCATATAAAAAAGCCCATTTGTAATTATTTTTGGGACTCTAGATTTGAAGATTCGAGATTCGATTTTTCCATGGTTCGGATTTGAGATTCGAAATTCCTGGATTTGACCATCACTAGTTATAGGTCATATCATTTTTATAAAGTTATAGGTTTTATTCTGCCAAAGTGGTGATGATTTCAAAAAGAGGGTTTTAGAGAACTAGGTGGTGAAATTAACTTTCTGAATGGTGGCTACTTTACAGAAGCTTCTTAAATGTGTTCTTGTTCTGCAGTAGAACACAGATACAGTACAACCCCACATATCTGACCAGCATGGAACCAAGCCCCTGGCCACATAACACTTCAGTCAGATAAACCAATCTACCATACCGTAAATATAAATGACACTGCAACACAATATACAACACTTGACCAAATAAAACGATTGCTGTACTTAACCTTTTTAAGGTCACGCCTACTACTAGCCCAACTGAGTGGTGAACTAACAGATAAACCGTAAGAGCGCTTGAGTTGCAGAAACTAGCATGTCTGAAAACTATGTGAAATGATGAACCGAGGCCAGAAATGAGTGGTATACTGTAGCTAAAAGTATCTTGAAAGTATTTGTGCAATGTTTACTTTGAATGACTTGACGCTGGAGATGCCGCTCTGAGCTTCTCGCTGGTACTCGTAGCGGGAGAAGGGACCCTTGAGTGAGGCTCCAGTGTGTACTACATCTACGACCTCCTCTACTGCGATGTTGCCCCAATGAGATACCTCCAGGGTACGCTCCAGTCTCGTCACTACAAGGAATGGTAAGTTGTTCTCGTAATGCAGCACCATCTCATCCTGCAACCATACAACAGAAAATCAGGGAAATATTCAGAAATAAAAATAAACATCTTAAATCTCAACAAGTTTAAAAAAATAATTCATGAGAAGTCTTTGTAACCAAACAGAACTCTAAGTAAGAAGAAAGACAGTGCTATTTTGGGACTTTTAACACATTTTGTGGTCCGACCGGTGTACTTCCTTAAGGCATTTTTTGACCAATTATGAACTTTGAACACAAAGAAAATGTAAACTGTTAAACGATCTAGATGTTAAACATTCTAGATTTTTGTGACGCCATTGTATTTCTTGAAGATATCACAAATAAAGGAAATTGTCTATTGTCTTATTGTCTACAGAATTAAATCCTATTTTATTAATCAAGTGATGGGGTAGAGGAAGGGTTTGCATGCCAGCCACCACCAGAATCACCTACTGTACACAACAGCCTGAATTGTCAACCACCAGGGATATTTTGTGTTAAAATGAAGCAGCTGCAATACATCCTACAGCTATGAAGCTAATTTACCAGCATAATGTGTGGAATACCCATGTCAGACAATTTTCAACTCATTTGAATACCTCAAAAGAATTACTGAGCCAAAAACTCTTGTGATTGATATACAAGGAACTAGGTCACAATTATGGCAATCTCAATGTTATACATCTGGAGCACAGAGTTTCCCACGTTAAATACAATGTAGCCCACGACAACGCTGCGCTACCAAACAAAACTTTGCAACAAAACTGTTAATTCTTTTCAAGAGGTTGGTGGCCTCTTTTACCTTGATTTGCTCCACATAGGCCTCAGGTCTGTGTGTGGAATGTATCAACAAAGCAATGGATGAACCGGTACAGTGTACTAGAGTTGAACTGCACTGATACAATGTAATACTGTTAAGTACTATGAAATGTAGGTGGGCATAAGATCCTAACCCACGACATCGCTGCCAACTGAGCCTCCAACGCACGGTTATTTAGTTTTCTGTACCATAATTCTGACTGAGTGATGAACTATGCTGGGCTACTTGAATTCAGCAAAGTCTATTAATGATGATTTACTACTGTACACTATTCATCAGCTAGGAGATTCTTTGCACATATAGGCCTATATTCTGACAAAGCTAGTTCTAACAGTAATCTCAGTAGCCTACTTACTTCAGCAAAAGGTTTCTGATCAGTGTAAGGCCCATATGTAAACCCGTTATCGGACTGAGACACAGGGTTAAGCTTGGAGTAAGATTCGATGTTGCGTGTGCCTACTGTTACTGTGGTAGTTTGTTTGCCCACTTTGTATGGTGAGTAGAAGTAGTGATTCCCTTTGTACAACACAAGCTGCTTCTCTTTCTGAGTTATTGTGGCTGGGTACGGAGCCAAAGCGTGGGTCAGAACACTTTCTACTTCTACCTGTAACAAAAATATTGGCAATGAGTTGGTTTGCTTGATTTACCATTCATATTTTAAAGTTATTATAATAGTTTTAATTATTCTCGGTTGCCCAAAAGTTTTTCGTTCTCATGGAATGATCAAGTTAAGTTTTAAAATTTCTTTCAAAATGAAGGCCTGAAAAAGTGTACATTAACTATGCAATACACAATTTATAAGAAACATTGGGCTACAATGTAGGCTATTAGACAAATTCTTCATACAAAATATATTTCAAAACTAAGTACATTTTATAAATTGCTTACAATCCTACAAATTAGAGAATAAATTTATGCTTCACTACAGAACAAGTAGTTGTTTATATTATAAAAATCTGTTGATGGGATAAGTCATTCACTCATCCATTTGTTAAAATGTTGTAATATAGCTTTGGCAGTAAAAGTTACGTTTTTGCCAAATTTTGTTAGTAAAAGAAGTTGGCGGTGTCTCAATGGATAATAGTGCATTAGCCTGACCCTGACAACGGCAAAAACTTGGACTAGTCATAGTCGCACACACCATGCGGCCAGAGCACGGCTCTATATTGACAACCAATACTCTGGTCCTCCGACCAATAATAAAAAGTTGTATAGTCTAGGCGCAGTGTTCCATTTATGTCTATTGTAAAATTGGTTGGATGCAACAGGTCGTAGTCATGCTAGGGTGCCATTAGCCTTCCATTTGCCCATTTACGTAGGTATTAGGCATGCGCATGGAACGTATCCAGCAAAGCTACGTGTAAGCTAGGACAATACATGAGAGAACTATACTGATAAAAATTATACCAAAAACAGTCTGGCAGTTTGGTGTCAATCAAATGGTTGATACAATTAGATACCTACATGAATTCTACAAGTGCTAACCAATGGCTACCCATGGAAATTGCACTAAGGCCAATAAAAGTGTTGTCAATAATAAGCTTACTTACTACTAGTGACATGTTTTAACAAATTTTAATTGGTTTTCAATTTTTCAATCTTGAAAATAAGAATCCTAAAATATATACCATTTCAATGTGTAAAACAATTGTAAATGATTTGAAAAAAGACAATTTTTAAATTGTTTTATTTCAATCACGGTAAAAGACTCTAGGCTACTAACTGAACAAATTTCTATATGGATTTGGCACTAAAAATAATGCCATAAGAAGTTAAAAGTACATGATGTTGTATCTGCACCTCGATTAGCTAACTTTCATTTATCCGTCCCACCCAGCAAATGGTTGTTGGTTGAGTACCATATAATCCCTTTTAACAGTAGGCCCTACACTGCAGCAGATAACAACCCCTTTTTACCCTTCTATACCGGAAAGTAAATAAAAGAAACGTCTTATAACACTTAAAACATATATTTACACTTATACTGTTACTCACAAGACGGTAAATATACAAAAAAGATGGTAAGTGGTGATCGATTTCGATTGGACATTCCAATCATTATCAGACCCAATAGGCGCTTCTATACCCTAAAGGGCTTTAACAACCTGCACTTGACAGTACCATATACACAAGTAGACTTCTAATCCCATTGCAAAATCTGAAGCTTGTTTTTATGTGTGGTTTATGTTGGTGACACAATCATTCTTGAATTAGGCCTATTAAAAAAACTTCAATGTGGTCAAATAAACGTTTTGTAACCGATGTATCTTAAGCTACTTGAAATAAAACATGTGGTGGTGGTGTGTCTGTAAATGTCTAGCATTTAGCCAAAGTTGGCAAGACACCATTTACTTCTTAATTGCAATGAATGTAGCTTTTGTATTTCTACATAATTTAATTTAATTACAGAATTAAATACAAATAAAAAGTTACTTCTTTTAAGATTTCATTTAATTTATTTACAGATTCACATTTTTACAAACAAAAAGACACTAAGAAAATACAATACTTGTTTGTTGAATATGCAAAGTACAAACATATAGGTAGGCTACATAAAACAACAATAATATGGAGTGATATGATTGTTTTAATGTCACCCTGGATATCTAAAGATTATATGCTACATTAAGGAAGGCAAGCTTTAGCTGTATAACAAATATCTTATAACCAACAGATTTACTTACAGTAACAGTTTTCCCAGCCTGCAGATTATCCTTCAACTGGATGACCCAGAATCCTTTAGAGGCTTGGTCTTGAACTTGAGTTGCAATTACTTTCAATGGAGTTTTCGAAGCATCTGAGAGCTGATAAAAATCAAATTATAAAATATTAGATTACACTCAAAATAAATATGAGTAAAGTTTTCAAATGGATGATTAACTTTAGGTTTTTTTTTACAAAATCATGCTTTAGTATAAATATAAATAATGGTTAAAAGTTAGGGAAAAGATGGGAAGATGGGGGGCTTTGTAATATTACCAATGCCTAAATACTCTGCAACATTTACTGTTGTAGCTACAATTCTCAAATTGTAGTAACTCTCGAGTTAAAAAGAAAATTAATATCGTCGGTGGGGATGCAAGAGTAATTTGTAAATATACTGTCAAGCCATTTTATTAACCATGGAGCATTGTAAGGTAAACAAACAGTATACACTGTATGTTTTCCCATGATGAGTATGGGCATAATGGTGAACCTATCACGGCAGAGCAGCAACTTTTTTTAGTTCCCTTTTATCTTAGACACCATGATACAGTTTCCAGCCAAAATACAAGTCTCAGGTGGATTAACAATTTGAGGAAAACAGGATCCATCTAAAAAAATGAGCTGCTTTGCCGAAAAATAAATCTTTAGATGCTGTAGAGGTCGAAACCGTTTGCTAAGCTTTGATTTGTAAATGTTGACATGCAAATCAAGCCCTTTTTTGAGCTTACAGGTGAGACAGCAACGTTTGGTAAACAATACCTAAGTTTATTTTCAACAAGATCCGCCACGCGCACAGCTCAGGACTCGAGGGCCATGGTAGGAAGGGTTCTTTCACATTTCCGTGATACTCTGTGGCCCCAAAGTTACCAGATATCAGAGTGTGTGATTTTTTTTTCTTTGAAACGTTCTCAAATTTTGTATCCACACTCACAAACCCCGACTCCTGATGGGTCTTAAGAATGCAATTAACTTGTTAGTGGCAACAATTAATAGTCAAAATCAAATCAAATCAAATCAAATCAATTTATTGACACAAATAACGTTACATTGGGTGCTTATAGCAGTAACTGGTGTCTTGTCAATTACATAAATCTTAATAATAAAATACAATGGAAAAAACATTTTACATAAAACATAGAAGATTACAATAACAATAAAAATGTACAATGACTATCCCAAGGAGGTGTCTGCTAAAAAGTCTGAGATGGAATAATAAACCTTATCCAGTAGAATTTCTTTAATTTTAACTTTAAAAACATTTACTGCCAATTGTTTAAATTTATTCGGCAAATGGTTGTACAGCTTCAGGCCTGTATAAAAAGGACATTTTTCAAATTTTGTTGTCCAATGGATTGGGTAACTGTAAAGGTTCTTGTTCCTAGTGTTGTATTTATTTTTTATTAAGAACTTTTCAAAATCTTTTTTATTTTCATGGACATAATTAAGGCTTTCATAAATGAACAGGCTGGGGAAAGTTAATATGGACTGATTTTTGAAATGTTTTTTACAGGAAGCCCTAAATTTAGCGTTTGCCATATTTCTAATGAATCTTTTTTGCATTGAAAATATCTTTTTACTATTTTTTGAATTTCCCCATAAGGTAATGCCATACCTCAAAATCGATTCTACATGGGAAAAATAAACTATTCTGATAACATTTTTTGATGCACACTGAGAAAGAACTGAAAAAGCAAAAAAGAATGATCTTAATTTTTTTAACAAATAATCAATATGTTCCTTCCAATTTAGTTTTTGGTCAATGATCACTCCGAGAAATTTTTGTTGTGAAATATCTGTCATGTTTGACTTTTGAAAAAATAAGACGTTTGTTTTATCACTGTTTAGTGCCAGGCCATTAGCTGTAAACCATTCACGGAGATCTTCCAAAGTTTTGTTTAGTTTTCTTTAGTGGCCGTGAAATGCTGGCATGTAATAGAAGGAAGAAATTATTAAATCCAGCAGGAGGAAGTGAACTCCACCTGACTGACATTGTTTTATATAAGGACATCTGACTAGGAATAACCAACTATGTTTAATGAATAGTGTTTTCTTTAATGGCAAGACTTTACTAACTAACAATTTAATGTAGGCTAATAAAAGTTATAACTGGCACACAGAAAATGAGTGCTGGTAATGCTTTTTTTAAATACGACCAGTTTTTTCTGTCACCCTTTATTTAGGAACATTCCAATAATCTCAACTCGTAAGTTATATGTTTTAAACTACACAAATAGAGACATTTTCATTTGATATGATTGTATACTACCTATATGAATTTATGTTAAATTTAACTAACCCTACCAAACAAATTTATTTTATCGCAAGAAATATAATACTAGTTTGTAAAGTTAATTAATATTTTAAAATAATCAGAAAGTTACATCCAAGAAAAACTTTGCACAAACTTTTTTCAACTTTTTATCATTAACGTAATGAAGAATATACTCCTCAGCCCTATTAATGAGAACATCCAACTAACTTACGCTAAACCACCTGTTAGGGGAAAAGGTTACTAGGCTACCTATATTTAAACTAAAAACAAAGTTATATATGTTCTATTTTAGAGTAGTAACAAAGGTGTTAAGCTGATCGGAAAAACCAGGATGTGAAATTTAATGAGCGGCCGTTCTGATAGTTCCCATTTAAAATTGTTCTGTGCTGTAGCAAGAAGAAAAGGATCACAGAAAATTATCACGGTGATGAGGTGATCGTGAGAGCAATGCATGGCATTTTCATAAAAATACATTGCTTTAATTTTTTTTTATGTAGTTTTACTGTAATTCTAGCTAATTTGTAGACAGGTAACCAATAAATTAACTTACATCCCACACCAGGGGGTGAAATGACCGGATTCAGTGATGTGCGTATGTGCTACTAAGGTGAAGGTTCTGGTTGACCAATGTGAGTGCTCCCATTTTATGAAATCCCTAAGTAACTTATCAATGCTCTAAGCACAGCGCAGAAACATTTTTTTTCTTGTCTTAGGACGCTAGGCACGAGCCCGGGATTGTTTTTCACATTTCTTCATGCTAGACCTAGGGGTTGTGGCATTATCACTTAGCTAAAATTCATCGGTGATTTGGCGGGATTTGAGCCCGGGAATTGAGATTTGATTTTGAGGTCCCTCCGTACACACTAATTCCGATATAAAAGAATGTACAAAAGCATAATACGTTACCGGTAGCCTACACCAGTTTTAGAGCTGAAAGATCACAGAAATAGGACATACAAACCTGATGAAAGTTTGCCTACAACATGTTGGACACAAGTCCCAACTTAAACTAGGTGGCGTTCGCAGAGGCATCCACAAAATTGAGCGGAGTCATCAAGGGTTTATATTATATTGTTTTTATCATACTGCAGTAAAAACAGTAGTTTTTAATGCATGCGTTGCGGGTCTAAAGTAGCATATTTAAGCCAGTAAAAAATCGTTTTTAGCTTCTATGGAGTAAAAATCAGCTGTTGTCAACTCAGCTGTAAATTTCGATTGTAAACGATTGCATGTATCGAAAATGAGTATCGATTCGTGCTTCGTAATCATTTTAACATACAGTCTATCTTCCCGTTGCATTTTAGCATTGCAGATACATTAATTCATTCCCAAACTCAACACTGCTCACCTTTAATACTTCCTTGACCACACCCTACGTAGTGGACCTGTTTCCCTCTCTTCCCATAGCATTTTAGGATTGCACATGTAATTGCCAAAAACAGTTCCCACACTCTGCACTGCTAGCCTTACTACTTCCATCGCCATTTACTACGCCATAGACCTGTTTCCTTCCTTTCTCATAGCATTTAAGTATTACAGATTCATTTATCTAACTGAGCCTTTACTTCTTCCTTCGCCACTTCCTACGTCGTGGGGCCTGTTTCCTTCCCTTCTCATAGCATTTTAGTATTTTAGGTACGTTAATCTAACTGCCACAAACATTCCTACACTCCGTAATGCTAGCCTTTACTACTTCTTTCGTCATTTCCTATGTCGTGGGCATGCTTCCATCCCTTCTCATAGCATTTCAGCATTGCACATACATTAAAACTGCTACAAACGGTTTCCAGTTCCCACACTCTACACTGCTCATCTTACTACTTCTTTCACCACTTCCTACGTCGCGGATGTGTTTCCCTCTCTTCCAATAGCATTTTAAGATTGTATATACCTAAATCTAATAAATCCTACGTCGTGGGGCCTGTTTCCTTCCCTTCTCATAGCATTTTAGTATTGGAGATACATTAATCTAAGTGCCACAGACGAATCTCACGCTATGCTGATGCTCATACTTTACTACTTCCTAAGTCACTTCCTACGTCGTGGACCTGTATTCACCACTTTCCATAGCATTTTAGTATTTTAGATACGTTAATCTAACTGCCACAAACATTCCTACACTCCGTAATGCTAGCCTTTACTACTTCTTTCACCATTTCCTATGTCGTGGGCATGCTTCCATCCCTTCTCATAGCATTTCAGCATTGCACATACATTAAAACTGCTACAAACGGTTTCCATTTCCCACACTCTACACTGCTCATCTTACTACTTCTTTCACCACTTCCTACGTCGCGGACCTGTTTTCCTCCCTTCCCATAGCATTTTAGGATTACAGATACATTAATCTAATGGTCACAAACAGTTCCCACACTCCGGACAGCTCGCATTGACTACTTCCTTCACCACTTCCTACGTCGCGGACCTGTTTTCCTCCCTTCCAATAGCATTTTAGGATTGCAGATACCATAATCTAATCGTCATAAACAGTTCCCACACTCCGGACAGCTCGCCTTGACTACTTCCTTCACCACTCCCCACATCGCGGGCCTGTTTTCCTCCCTTCCCATAGCATTTTAGGATTTGAGATACCTTAATCTAATCGTCATAAACAGTCTCCACACTCCGGACAGCTCGCCTTGACTACTTCCTTCACCACTTCCTACGTCGCGGACCTGTTTCCCTCCCTTCCTAATTCTAGATACCTTAATCTAATCGTCATAAACAGTTCCCGCACTCTGGACAGCTCGCCTTGACTACTTCCTTCACCACTTCCTACGTATCGGATCTGTTTTCCTCCCTTCCCATAGCATTTTAGGATTGTAGATACCAAGATACCTTAATATAATCGCCATAAACAGTTCCCACACTCCGGACAGCTCGCATTGACTACTTACTTCACCACTTCCTACGTCTCGGACCAGTTTTTCTCCCTTCTCATAGCATTTTAGGATTGCAGATACCTTAATATAATCGTCATAAACAGTTCCCACCCTCCGGACAGCTCGCCTTGACTACTTCCTTCACCACTTCCCACATCGCGGACCTGTTTTCCTCCCTTCCCATAGAATTATAGGATTGCAAATACCTTAATCTAATGGTCACAAACAAATCCCACACCCCGAACAGCTCGCCTTAACTACTTCCTTCACCACTTCCTACGTTGCGGACATGTTTTCCTCCCTTCCCATAGAATTTTAGGAATGCAGATACCTTCATCTAATCGTCATAAACAGTTTCCACACTCCAGACTGCTCACCTTTACTACTTCCTTCACCACTTCATACGTCACGGACCTCAAGCTAGTGTCGTCATTTGATTATAATTTATGATCCATACTGTTTATGTTCTAATATCTGTGGAATAATGCTATCAGCTATTTCTTTAAATATTGCATTTAAAAGTCAACAGCTGATCATATGTCTTTGTTTATGTGTCAAATTCTGCTTCCATAAGGATTACATTGAAACTTTGAGACCCAGTGGGGCGGATTCCTGAGAGACTTTTTTAACGCCATATAGATGTTGGCACTCACCGATATGGACTTTTTTACCATGAAAAATTTGAAAACGATTGATTCAGCCGTCTAGGAGGAGTTTGCGTATTACGAAATGCATAAGAGTCGACGTATAAGAGCTTCGCTCGCTTCGCTCGCTCCGCTCAATTATTACCAATGATAATTCCTAATTTAAAAAAAGTCATTTGACCTTACTTTATTAATTTTGGAATTTAGGTTGATGCACTATGGACTATACAGTCGCCGGGTAAGTTAAGGTCTCGTTCGGTAAATAATTTAAGTTATAAAATAGCAAGGAACGAGAAGAAAAATCCTATATGTATGAGGCCAAAATAATAAACTTATTAACTTATTTAATAATAAAGGTATTAATCTGAGCATGAGATGTAACACTCAAGTCGTAAGTTAACTTAAGTGGGCGTGGCATTGAGATAGATGCTTTGGACTACTTTGAACAACTATAATAGGCCTACCTGATGACTGATACAGGAGCCTGCCAGTGGGCCTACTTAACAAGTTGTTTGTTCCAATAAGAACCTGGCTTTGGCTAGGTTTGAATGGCGCATATTAATGGCGACATGGCTAACCCAAACTCCTCAAGCATCGAATAGCCTAGCCTAATTTTAAAATCTTAATTTTACCCAATTAAAATAAATCTTACATTGACAGTTTATCGTACAACCTAGGCCTAGTCCTACATCAACAAATTATCAGCATTCTACAATACAAGCATGCTAAAATTAGCATTTTATAGTTGTAGACTTAGGCCTAACTTATGATATAGGCCTAACTTAAGTAAGAAAAAAGGAAACCCCAGGTCAATAAATCACAGCTAGCCTACTCAATTTATAGAGTACACTATTTTCAAACTGGTATGATTTATACTTCCGAGGAGCAGAAGATACCAAAGGATTTGGGCCCTAAAGAGTAGAAGCAGTATATAGGGCCTAGGTCTAGCCTATTAAAGGTTAGAAAACATTTCATACCTGAGCACCAATGAACGATACCAATTGCTTGAACTGAGGCTCTACAGCATACAAAACACTTTTGACAGGAGATTTCCCAGCATTTTCAACAGTAAGTTTACATATAATCTTTGCTAATTGAGAAGAAACGTCAATTTGCCGGTCAACATTTCTAATTACGATCTCTGGGTTTATGACTTCAGAGGATATCGTGTGTGCAAAAATTGATAGCAAACAAAAAAGAAGCATTATTTTCATTGTGAATAAAAGAGTTTTGTCTATAAATCTGAAATGAATAGAACACTGTAAATATGTTAACGGATGATAATTATTGCTCTCAACCTCAACATAACCAAACCCTAGAGATCCGAGTAAGTAACCAACCAACAAACCAAAACTAACCAAGCCGAAGTCGCCACGTCTAAAAGTGGCGTGTGTCAGTGTAGTGTATCGTATACTGTATAGTGTATGTAGTGTTTGTCGTCATAGAGTAAGCTTTTTTCTCACATGATTACACTGTATAGAGGAACGATCATGTATTTAGAAGTCAGAAAAGTTTGTATTAATTTCTTCAACAAACTGTACCAATCAATACGATGAATATATTAGCGATTGTGAGTAATATGGTACATGTGTGAGAGATGGTTAATACAATGAGTTCAGTGTTACATTGTAATTAAATAATTAACATAAAGTAATTAATTACTGAGCTAGCAACTAAATGAGTGATGACTCGAGTTATTATTGTGCGAATAATAACAAATCCATTATTTTATTAATGCGTGCTTTGCGTGCATTAACAAAGCAACCAAAGATCAATAGTAAATATACATGTCCCCGGACGGTAAAACAATAAGTTATTGCTTAAAAAAACCTACGTTGTATGATCACCATTTCAATGAAGAGTATTAAAGTAGATATTCAAAATAACACGTAACGACAATTTAGTAACAATAAATGAAAATTATACAATTAGGATAACGATAACTTTTCAATTTTGAAAACAGGCTTCCCAAAATATTTCAAATCCGATTTTAAATTTGTGTCTCAGGGTAGTTCACGAATGTCTCGCTATTCTTCGATCACTTTGCGTATACCTCATCATGTGACCACGGCTTATGGCAGGGATTTTGTTGTTACCGCTTGTCGTCTGTGGAACGGCCTACCCCTGCACGCTAAATTTTTATTTCAGGATTAGTGTTGCCTACAGTATTATTTTGAGGCTTCCGATTGGCTGAGGGAACATCATTACCGCGACGATACGGTTGATGCCAACGGCCTCGGTGGTGTAGTGGATAGAGTGCTGGTTAATGATCCGAAGGATCCGGGTTCAATTTCCACCCGTTGCACAATTTTGTATTGGATTTTTTCATTATTAACAAGTTTGGTTGGTTTGGTTAGGTTATGTTGGTTTAATTTTATAATTAAAACATTATGGAATTGAATTTGACCCATTTATAGTTTTATTTTATGAACAGAAATGCTTTTTTTTCGGTTAAACCTTCATTTGATTTTTCATTGTTAGCAAGTCTGGTTAGTTTGGTTAGGTTATGTAGTTTAATTTTATAATAAAAAATTATAAAATAGGATTTGAGGCATTTATAATTTTATTTTATGAACAGAACTATTTTTTCGATTAATAAACCTTCATTAGATTTTTTCATTATCAGCACGTTTGGTTGGTTTGGTTAGGTTATGACGGTTTAATTTCATAATAAAAAGATATAAAATTGAATTTGAGGCATTTATAATTTTATTCTATGAACAAAAATAATTTTTCAATTAGGTACTAAACCTTCGTTATAGTCAATCAGAAGCCTCTAAATGACACTGTTGGCAAAATTAATCCTGAAAAACAAATTGTGCCCCCTGCACATTAAGACACTTGAAAAACGTTCCCAGTTTGTGGCGGCACTGAAAAAGCTCTATTTTGAGAAGATGGTCTCGGCTGGCTTGTCCTAGGACTACTGTTGTTACTTTGCGCGTTTGCTGATGCGTGTATGCGAGAGTGTGTAAATGTGTTTTTATATTTTGTTAAATTTGTATGTTTTTTTAGATATGTAGGTACTTAAATTGTTGAATATTTTATGTTTAATTAGATTAAGTTAAAATACCAATGTAACATTATATTTTGAATGTCAGGTTAAGTGTAAGAAAGGGCCATGTGGCCCTAACTTTGCCTGAAAAATAAACGATTTTTCATTTCATAACTTAGCCAACATAGAATAAGAAAATACATACATTTAGGCAATTGCTACTCTATGTAAAGTACTCTAAAAAATAAATAACAAGTGCCAACAAATTAGTAACAATAAATGAATATTATACATTTAGGATAACAATAACTTACCCAAGTAGCAAAAATCGTTGGCAAATCGTTGGCCCAACGTTTCTGTCGATCGTTGGCCAACGGTATGTTTTGGCACTCAGTCTTACGGTTGGCCAACCAACCAATTTTTGCGGAAGGGCCAACCACCCCATTAGGCATAAACATAAAAAATACAAAATAATAAATATTTTGTATGAAAAGCATAATTATGAGTTGAGTAAATTGATTAAATAGTTCATAAAAACTTATTATGAAAATAAAACGAGATGAAAATTTTTGGGCGCGACGGGTCTCGAACCCGGTACTTTCGACATTTGAGCCTCACGCCTTACCTCTGAGCTAATTGTGCTTGATGATTGTGAGTGTTTTCAAGTGGTGAAAGAGTAGCCGACAGGTGCAATGGTCACAATTAATACTTTAAATATTTTCGATGCTACAGTATGATTCTGTTAATCTGTTTAGGCCACAAGTAGTTGAATTGTTTTTCTGGTAGTTGGAGAGGATACTAGTATTTGAATATAGATTATTTAATTACCATTAGATTAGTAGGCTAATGTTATAATTGATTGTTATATAATTAATTAATCTTTTCTCTATAACTATTAAAAACTTGCTTAAATAAGTTAAAGAATATTTAAAAAATGAATTATAATATGTTAAGCAGGTGTTCCCCACTGTATCTAGTATCACAACATCATCTGACTACATTCAAATTTTTACAATATTTGTCTTATATTCTGCTGCCATAACATTTATGTAGTTTTAAATAAATCAATTTGTTAAAATTCGTTTTAGAATGTTTTATACTTAAACCCAACGAATGCCCAACGAAGGCCCAACGATTCTTTCCTTTGTAGAACCAACGAATACCAGTTTCCGTTGGGCCAACGTTGGCAAATCGTTAAAATTTCTGCCAACCATTTCCCAACCGTGCCGACCATTTCCCAACGTTGGGCCAACGATGTGTGCTACTTGGGTAGCCAATAAATACAATAAGAATATACATACATGTAGGCAAATGCAATCACAATACAAGTCAATACGACAGCTACAAATTTCTGATGGTCCGATTTGCAGGGGTTCACTGCACTGGACTTCTTTCTTGAAGGAGTTGGCCGAGACACCAAAGAAGTTCAGCCGAGGAGCAAAAACGCTGCCAAGTCTAAGAAGACTTGAAGTGGAAGTGCCGTGGTGATAGGCGTAGTAGTAATAGGACTCGTACCACCTCTGAAAGATGACCCCGGAACGTCTTCCCTTTAGGGATTGTAAAGTCGATGCCAGACAAGAGAGCAGGGCAGTCCAGGAGACCAAGATGCAATGATTCATTCAACTAGACAATAACTAAATGTATCAATGACGACAACCATCATAAAACCACTCCGAACCAGTATTCTTCTGATAAATTAATACTGTAATATTACTAATATTATATTGATCAAATATATTAACATTGTGGAATACACATAGGTATATTCCAAAAGGTATGGGGAGAGAGGGCATGCTTAGCACGCAGTCAAAGAGAAACGGCAGCGTTTTAGAGAGGACGGGTCTCCTGGTCACCTCATCTGACAATGCCAAAAACACCGTTGGTACCTTCGCTGAGGAAGAGGATGACAGTCTTTCTCCCACCGGCGTCAGCAATTTCAAGTTTGGCGAAGGTCGGAGGATTCCCTTACTTCTAAGTTGCGGCTGGAGAGCTCGGGTATGGTGATCCTGCGCCAGGAATATCTTGACGCAGAGATTAGCATCGGAAGGAGGCTTTAGAAACATAGACAAGACAAGGCAATACGGGACACCTTCATATAGAAATAGAATACAGAAAATGGTTAAATAAACGGTAAAAAATTATGTGGCCATACTCAAAGATGACCATGATAGGCCTATCGTCTTCACTTGCCGGTTCTTGCACAGGACGATCATATAGATATTTGCTTAGAAGGTACCCTGCTTCGGAAATTCTCCTGAAAAATGAAGTTTGTCCAGATCACAAGGTCTAACATTAATGTTAGGTGCCATAGCAAGGCATGTAATTGGTTCCATCTAGATTTTTGTATATATTTTATATCGTAATTTATTAAAGTCAGACATTAGAAACATGGCAAAGATGAGTCAGAAACAATGATGTCAATTAGTGGAGGCATGGACATAGCCAACCCCCACTGTTTTATAGGGATACATTGATAAATTAACGATGTGATTACTAAATAACTCGTTTATTCAACATACTATAATTTTAATCACCAACCAACATTTTTAAAATACCGATTATAATTATTACGATTCTTTGAAACTGGCAGTCAACACGAAAATACCACGGACACTGTTGTATGGGAGCAAGTATCTGCGATAAATTACTGCATTTTATTTTGGTATGATTTAAAAACTATTGATAACAATGCATTAATCATATAAATGATTTTTATTTTTCGTAAGCCATTATGTGGGTGCGGGATGCCTTTTCAAGCATCCCGGTTCTGATCTTAGCCTTATTTCATTTAGAAATGGTGCACAATTTTATCACTCAAACACTGGAAACACTATTGGATTTATTATACGTACCTACTTAATAATGATTATGTTATAGTTTATTGACGTTCATCCATTGCATGTAATGTACATAGAGCACTTTACGATGAAAAGCACATCTTAAATTTATAAAAAAATATTATTTATAAAAATTCTTGATTGTTGATTACGCATACCACTTTTTCAGTATGGTAACTAACTACTCAACAATAATAATATTGAAAGTACTTATTGGGCTAAGGTTTTGATTTGAAGTCGCAGCTGCTATCGATAGTCGTGACCCCCCAAAAGGCCATCAGCAGCGACGTGCCGCGCCGGCGCGGCACAATTGTGTATTTATTACCATTGTCATTGTGTATGTGTAGTCTGGGAGAATGAAGTAACAAAAATGATCACAAATATCCCACCTTTGTTTAGTATCATTTACGGTTTGTAGTAATGAAACATCTATCCATACGAATATATAAAGTGTCCAATTTTAACGACATTTGTGTTGTGCTTAAACATTTATAGGCCTACTGTATTTATTATAAAAAAGTGTGAATAGATTATTGAATAACAATCGGGCATAAATCTTTAGAAAATATTTTTAGAGCAAATTAGGTACATTATGTTTATATAATTAGCAAAAATATTGATTCTGTGAAACAACAATTTCGACCCCTTGACTTGACATGAGCCTGTTAGTTTCCTCCACAGTGCAGAAAGGCGGGAAAGGTAACTCAACAAGCTCATCAGGAAGAGAACAAAACGTGATGACGCCTGTCGAGAATCACGGTATTTAATATTTATCAACTTTAAAAGGTTTCTAATCCCAAATTGCTTGTTGGGTCGATAATTTTAACAGCGTGATAAAGCATTTTTAGTTTATACAAGTATAATTTTTATTTGGAAGTCGACGAAATGTGGGTGAATAGTTTTTACACACCGAGCAAAGAAGGTATAAGTTTATTAGGTTAAGTTTCCACAGCCTATTCTCATTTCCATATTCTTTATCAACAACATTATTTATTGAGAACTAACTATTTACCAACAGAAATGAAGCACCATAAACTATTTTATAGGATATGATCCTTAATTTAATATCAATTCCTTCAGTTTAATATCAGGCCTAAGTCAGCCTAGCTTGGTCTAGGCCTATTCCAGGTGCAAGTTAAACCTAGGCCTAGGTGGAGCTGGTGGTGGAGAAACTGTGGTGGTGCTTATTGTTCTTCCTGTAGGACCAGGTTTACAACAGAAGGAAAGTTGAAAAGCTTTTAGTATCCTTATGCCTTTATATGACACTTCATAAATTGCCCTCACTAAGTTAGGCCTAATCAGTGTGATTTCAATGGTAGGCCTATGTTTTAATTAGGCCTAGATAACTTACTACTAGCCCATGGGGTAGTTATATCGACCTCTGGACCTCACCCGAAATTAACTTTTTTTTTTAATGGTCGATATTTCACGCTGATTCCAAAAATAATTGCCTTTTTCTCGGAAACGTCTCGGAAAAATTTATTTTTTTCCAAACCCATGTTGTGGGTACTCATATTGTGCGGAATTTCATCCTGAACAAGAAAAGGAAATTTTATTAGGCTACGATTGGACTGCTACTAATTATCACTAAATATCTAAATATCACCGGAAAAGCGGGTCGTTGGCTACTCGCTCGACGTATTTACTACCGCTTAGCGCAGCACTTTGCAGGTGACTCCTACGCCATTGTGGAATGTAGGCATTATTTTAGGTTAGGTTAGTTTATCAATGATATGGGTTTTGTAATTAAACTAACCTAACCTAACTTAACCTAATCATGGCCTGCTAATGAATAGGCCTACTGAACCCCATTGTTATTCAAATATGACCCTCTATTCCAGCGATATTTAACTTTGCAGCAATCCGATAAGAAAAATTACATATTCTTGTTCAGGATGAAATCCCGCACAATTTGAGTACCCACAACATGGGTTCAAAAAAAAATGTTTTCCGCTTTTTTGGGAAAACGGGACGTTTTCAAGAATAACGACAACCCTTTTTGGAATCAGCGTGAAATCTCTACCATTTTGAAAAAAAAAATTAATATCGGGTGAAGTCCAGAGGTCGATATAATTACTGCCCATGGGATATAGGCCTACTTAATATTCGCTTGTGATGCCAGGTCAGTAGGTAGGCCTACCAAAGTTAAGTTATAGGCCTATATTGATCTCTGATGTCACGTTCAAGTACCGATTTAGTAGGCTAATTAATATCTTAAGCTAAGTTAAACTCGTGCAAGTTTTCAAACTTTTTGATTACAGTAACTAACTTAATTTGGCTAAATTACGCAAATAACCTAAGCATTTTCTCTGGCACTTATGAGGCTAGCACCTTTTTCATCTAAAAATTTATTGTGTTTAAAGGTTGCCCAAATTTTTGGAACGGGAACTCAAAGGTCTGACGACTTTCAGCTAAAAAGGAGCGTAACCATTTGTTAGCCACCTCTCTAACACCAATCTTTTCGAGTTTATCTGGAAGAATTTAATGAAAAACCTTGTCAAATGCCTTTTGACGATCATAGATAATACTTGCAGCAGATTCTCCTTTATCCAAGGGTTCAACTATTTTGTTGGTTAAAGCAAACATTGCATCAACGGTGGATATATTCTCTACGAAACCAAACTGATTTGAAAACAATGTGTCTAAAAAACCTACACTATTCAACTCAGCTTTTTCAAAAACCTTAAAAAAGGTTGAGGTGATAGAAATTGGTCTAAAATTCTATTCATCAAGTTCGTCCATTTTTTCTTTTTTGTGTAACGGTTTTACCGTTGACTCTTTCAAGAAGCCGGGAAACGCATCATTCTCAAAAGAATAATCAGATGAACGAGAGGGCAAAGAAAAAGGTGGGAACACGATTAAAGAAGATTTGAAGAGATGTTGTCGACTTCGGAGGATTATTTTGATTTTAAGGATCCTATTATGTCTGGCTACTTAGGTTGATGATACTGGAGGAAGGAAAAAAGATGATATGTGGAATGTCTGATTGGGGGTCTTCCAAAAACACTCTGGATTCTGATTTATTGTGTACGTTGATAAAGAAGTCATTGAACAGATTTGAAATCCACTTTGGATCTCTTACAGTTGAGCCATCTTTATTTTTGACACACACTTGACAGTCAACCCTGGTGATATCTTTGTGTTCCTGTGCTTGTCTACAATTTGCCAAGCTATTTTAGGTTTATTTGAAGAAAGGCTAAGTCTGTCAAGAACTATCGATGACTTAGTATGCCTACTGTATATCTCTTCTTCAGTGACAAATAATGCTGTCTCTTCTCGTGATATCTATCCAAGTCTCGGGCAAGGTGCCACCAGTGTCTCACCAGAATACGCATTTCTATTAGCTCCTCATTGAGAGGCACGTTTTAGATGGAAGATTTATTTTTGCTCTTTAGTGTTATTTTCTTTTTTTGGAAATACCTGGTTAAAAGCAAACTTTACAGTGGGTATAAAATTTTTTATCTTTGCGTCTATTGTGGCGGCACTAAATACATCACTCCGTTGTTCACATTGCAAAAGATATTTAAAGACTTCCACATTACTGCTTAAAATGGACCTTTTTATAATCTATCTAATGTATTTAAACGTTACCTACAATAACCTACCAATTCTCATATCCTTAAATAAGATAACCTTAAAACGCAAATTTTGGGGAGAAAACTCCGTTTTCTTCAAATGTGCCAGGGAAAAGTGCTTAGAATTGTTTAATTTAGCGAAATAGGCATAGGCTTACCAAAAATTTTGTTAAAATTGCATGAGTAGGTTATCTGAAATTCATAAATACCTACCCACTGTTTTCCCAGTTTTAGGCCTGTGATAAAAAAACCACCCTGAACTCTCAAATGATGGGCTTAGCATGTATTTAGCCTGTTTCCCGGAAAAAGTCAAATTTAAACACTAGGCTACTTAATTCTACCTATTCTAATCATTTGTAATAACTTACTACACTGAATGTGAATATTTATTATTATTATTTATGAATTAGGCCTTATAAAGTTATTAGATATCACTCTAGATTAAGTCTACTGAAAAAGTGGGCTAAAAACCCAACAAAATGATATAGCTTAAGTTAGTTAGTTTGCCACGAGTACTGGATAATTTGGCAACATAGTTCCAAGAGAATGTATTATTTTGTATTTATTTGTTTTGAAGGAATAAACTCATTATTTCATTTCACTATTTCAAGATAAAACGAGTGCGAGCTGTTTTCAATTTATGTGAATCTGTCAATAACTCACGAATAAATAGTGGAGCACGCGCCAGTGCGCCATATGATGTATATTGATGGAGCTAGCTAGCGTGATAATAGGCCTGTATAGCGTAATACACATATAGTCACATGATAAAGGACATGTTTAAACACATAGCAGATCATCAACGTCGTAACCTAGGAGCGCTTTAGAGTTATTAGAGGGGATGACAAATTACAAAGCACTTGCACAATAATCGATTGATGGTACTCCGGCCTATTATCCCCGAATATCGTCGTTAATAGAAAATTGTGCAAGCGCTTAGTCTCTTTTTCAATTTCTCGAACCCCTCTAATGCATTCCTGAGATACGACATTGATGCTCTGCTATGCGTAAACATGTTATTTATCAAGTGACTATATGTCTATCACCGTACTTTGTGCCTATTGTCCCGGAATAGTGCCATCAATATACATCGTATGGCGCACTGGCGTGTGCTCCGCTATTTATTGGTGAGTTATTGTTAGCTTCACACAAGTCTGTTATCAGTGTATTTAATCATGGTAGTAATGTTATGGCATTTGAAAAGGTTAGTTTGTGTTAGGTTGAATTGGGAAAGGCTCGGTTACCTAATTTAACCGCCTAATGCTGCGGCACTGCATCTTGAGCCTAAATTTACCTGTTTTTTGTTGACAGAGACTTTCTATGTGTACTAGATCTGACGTAGCCTATGTTGAATTTTTACTTCAAATTTAGTCAAATTTTCACATTGTGTCAGGGCCAGGATAACAGTAATTTTTGGAAACAGTTAAATTATTTCCAGGAATTTTTATTGGTCAGAATTTTGACCTATGGAAACATACTACGTAATGTCATCCACATTGATAAAATATATTGCTTTCAGCACCTCTTACAGAAGAGCAGCTACGTGCAAAAGAGGTTATAACAGCAAATGACATTCTCCGATTCCCAAAAATAACTAGCCGTGAGTACAAATCTCTTTCACATACATAATGTAGCCTAGGCCTATTCATAAGTTACAACACTTTGAATTATTGATTGGAACTAGGCCTAAAGCTTTTCTAAACGGCACTTGGCAACAGCAAAACTGTGTGAAGGTGTTCCACCAAGGACTATGTTTCGTGGGGGCTTCTAAGCAACTTAAAATTTATCCAGTGACCTTTGCTTTGGTGTAACTTCCATTATGTAGTAGGCCTAAATAATGATCAATGATATTAATCCGATTGTTCTTCCCTTTTCTTTGTACAGTATTGCCAATGTGCTACTTTAGATGATTCGTTAAATAACATATATTGCGACCCTTGTTTACCTATTTATTGTTATCTCGCAAATAATGACATGGCGACCGATTAACCCGTAAGGACCATGTTAAATTTCTAAAAGCTTAAATTCACGTAGGGAAAACCCCTGTTGTCCAATTTGTACCATTTCAGATTTATACCTTCACATGGTTGGTTACTACGACTGTGCTAAATTTCGTGCAGATCGCTTTAGCCGTTCAGGAGGAGTATTTGTAAAACAAAAGCAGGACTGAGTATAAGAGCTTCGCTCAATAAGTATAACACAAACATTTCCATATAACATAAAACCTGCATTGAAAAAAGTAGCATAGTTTGCTCCTGCTAACAGATCGAGCCTAGGACTAATTAATTCCTAGGCTATGCTATTGGATCAAGACGAATACTAAGTTCAATTACTGTAATAGGAATATATCTGTTTGGTGCTTGTAAAAACACGCCTACTTAAGCCAACTTTTTACATAGCCAAGTAGGGCTACATTTTATTTTTACCTCAAAATTTTCAACATTTTAATAAATTAAAAATACGATTTCAGGATAAGTTGCTACTGTTTTGTGCACCAACGTTTGTTGAAGCACAATTTGCCCTATCTATAATGACAAAGGACGATTTCTTGACACTGTATAGTGTTATTCATAAATTAAGTAACTTATCTCTATGGTTAAAATTAATAGCAATGCCGTTTTTAATATCAAATAAAGAAAGGTAATAAAATCCACTTCAGTAGGCTAGGCTCTGTAACACCGAGTTTTTAAATAAGGTTTTACAGTTTTATTGTCTTTTATAGTTGATATAAGACAATGAATTAATGTGCATTAAAGAAATAAAATGAGCTTTTTAAATATAGTTTTGCTGTATGTCCATTTACATTTCATTGTAGCTGCAGTTGTAGCTAGCTACTTTTTCGGAACTGTAGCTGAATATGTAGCTAAGCCACTTTTTTGGAAATGTAGCAGTAGTTGTAGCTAGCTACATTTTAAAAGTAGCTTCCCCAACACTTTTTTATTCATACAGGAAATTTTTTTAGTTTTGGGCTACTTTCGTTGTATTATCGCCATTCAATAACTTAGCCATTTCCCTTCAACTTGATAAGTTTCAGTTTTTGGATTTAATGTTTAGCTTATTTCATAAAATGATCTTCAATTTTGTTATTGTTTAGTATTACTCATTTTTGTGCCCCTGGATGACATTGCATGCTTCTGTCAATTACAAAAAGTAGGCTAACTAAACTTTACCTTATAGTTCGGCCGCTTAGAAAGTGACCTCCTCTAGCATTGGTTAGCATTAGCGTGCAGGTCGCTTTCTAAGCGGCCGAACTATATATCGTTATCACAGTGTTAACTATTTAGACAAAAAACAAACCATTACTTTTATTTTGGTTTCTAAAACCTATTCCTCCAACTGGGTTTTAAAATATTTGTGAGTCAGGAATCAGTGGGCCTAACTCATCTGTTTTCTAATTGATAATTTTTCCAATGCTATTTTTGTCTAAACTAAATCATGCACGTGGGGTGGAAGTCATTGTACAATGTACAAGTGTAAGAGCAAAAATTAAAACTTAAAAAGTGATATGTGAAAGTGGCATAGTTGATTACAAGGTAAAAGTAGTGGAGTTGTTGCGTCAAGGTGATATTGCATCTTGACCGTGCAGTCCCAACTGTCAATCCTAGCTATAAGCTGTGTAATCTCACTGAAAATAACCCTGAATAACTGATCACCTTAGTGAATTGGCTAATGTATCCTAGAAACTTATTCAGCTTTTGAAGTCGATCCGTGTAATCCCTAAGTGATCTATCTCTGTAATTCCAGAGTACCTCTGCTCTCCAGAAGCAAACATCTACGACATCGACTTTGTAAGATTCAAAATTAGAGACTGGGAATCTAAAACTGTGCTGTTCGAGATCGCCAAGCCCTCTGTGCCCCCAGGTAAATATGATGCCAACATTTTTAAAGCTTTTGTTAAAAGGCTATTAGAAACAATTTTATTTATTTGTACATTACAAATCCGATAACATCAAGAAATGGATTCATGTCGAAACTGAATTTTTTCATTGTAGTAGACCCCTTGTAAAATGCCACTGGCGTAGAAAAAAATGAGAGCACTGAGAACCAATTCTTCAGGCGGTAGGAGTGACGGCATTGGGCAACGTTAGTAGGGTAGTGTACTTTGTGTAGGTTAACTGTTGCTTACTGGGCAGGTATAATGCAGTCGTGTTGGGTGCAAGTTGTTTAACACTTCAAATAAACTAAGTTCTCTGGTTCGAAATCTTGGTCTGATTTTGAACATTTTCTGTTTAGCATGCACATGGGCACCAGTTGAAAGGGTATTATTGTAAATCAATAATGTGTTGTAATGTTAGAATATTGGAATGTTGAAATACCCCCCAGACCCCCCGGTGACCTAATTAATATATAAATAATAATTAATAGATAAAAAATTACCTAATTAATATTAAGTAATATTAATTGATAATTATTAATTAGTGTGGTTAGAGCGTATATGGCTTTGTTTTGCAAAGCGAATATAATCTAGTTACAGTATCGCCATTGACTTAACCGACAGAAGTGTAGACTTCTCATTAAAATGTAAAATCTAAAGATTGTTTTTCATGTCTAGTTCATGTTGGTTACACTGGGTGCTTGTGTCAACATAATTTTGTTTGTATTATTTTAGAATTAATTTTATGATTTATGTTTTAATTTATTGTAATTTAACCAGGGGACAAGCTTTTGTTTTCAATTACAAATATTGTTTTATTTGGTAAAACAAGGTTTTGAATGACTAAAGTAACAAGAACTGCTTTCAACTGATGCACAAGTATGACAAATCTACTAAGGGGGGTGTTTAATCTATGGTATCTTGTACTGTAGGGAGTTTGTGTTTGTGCCTGAAATTTGAATCAACTGCAGCAGCAGCCATGGCCATGCTTTGTTGGCAGGAATGCTCAGCGGGTTGGATATTTTTGTTTCCAGAAACGTGAGCTCACTATTTGATACATAAAACTGCAAAATGTGAAGATGGAATTTTGCTAAAGCCAGAACTAGTAAATTCTTCAAAAAGCTTGCAATGATAAAATTGCATTGTGAAAAAGTGTTTAAGCAATTGACATATAAGCCTGATACATTTTTAATAAAGGTTTGTAGGAAAGTAAATTTAAAAAAAATTATTGGGCCTAGGGGTGCCAAAACACTAAATCCGGCCCTGCTCCTAGTACTGTATTATGCTTCTGATATAGCCTAATGATTAACTAAATGGTGTGATATAATGGTGTTTGTATACATTTATTTGTTATAAGTTAATACATATTTTACTCAGAGCCTGATGAATCTGATCAAGACACAGAAGAAGAGGAAGTTGATGCGAATGCAGGGCGATTTGTTCGATACCAATTCACACCTCAGTTTCTACGGCTGAAAACAATTGGTGCTACGTATGTACCATCTGCAGTTAAATTAATAATACCTATATATAGTTTTACATTAAAAGTCCTTGGAGCCTAGACGTTCTAACACGTTAAACAATCAAAAAACTACAAAGAAAGTTTATAATCTCACAGTTTACTGGATATTTAAATTACAATGACTCTGCTGTTTGCAAACAATATTTTAAGATGGTATATAACTCTTCAGCGGCTGTTTGAAATTAACAAAGTTAACATTGCTCTTGTGGCGGGCAAATCCAAGATGGCCGTTAGCTTCCATGTACTCCCTTGGAAAACAATTCAAAACTACAAAGAACATTTCTAATCCTACAGTTAACTAGATATTTAAACTATAATCACTTTGGTTAAAAAAAAAACATTTTTGGACAATAAATAACTCTTCATCAGCTGTTTGGAATCATCCAAGATGGCCGCTAGCCTCCAAGGACTCTTAAAAAATTTTCTGTTGAAGGGGTGTTAAGAAAAATCACTAACTAACCTAAAAAGTTAAGACTAGAGGTAATTGAATAATTAATTAATCCTATGCATCTCCCCTCGGGGATCCCTGCTAAGAAATTGTGTTTGCTATGTTTAAGAATTACAAATCATTCTATTAGGGCTATTAGGGGCTTATAAGTCATATGGTACGAGTGCTATTTTTTTTAGTTTTGATGAAAACGGCTGTAAAGTCAAAACCCTTTTTGAAATTCTCATTAACAGTCATGACCATTTATAATTTAGGTACTGTAGTATGATTCTACAAGGTTGTAAAATTAAAAAAAAGTCAAACCATACAAAGAAAAAGAATGTGTTAAATACTTTTTTTGTACTGCCAAGTCATATTTTTTTTGTATTAATTGAAATGACTGACTCAATTCTGTTTCACAGCGTGGAGTTCACGGTGGGTGCGCAGCCATTGAACAAGTTCAGAATGATTGAGCGGCATTTCTTTCGAGACACGCTTCTAAAGACCTTTGATTTTGACTTTGGATTTTGCATCCCCAACAGCAGGAACGTGGTGGAACACATCTACAATTTTCCGAGTCTGTCACAGTCTCTTAGTAAGTTTTAATAAAATCTCATAATGCTGAATACTAATTTAGCTTAATGACTTTTCAACGGGTGTCCAGCTGACCTGGAAACCCGGAGCTGTACAAGAATTTCTATGACCAAGAAAAATCCTTGAATTGAACGCAAATGGGACCGAAAATTTTTAGATTTTAAGTAATTGCCATAAAATACATTAATTAGAGGTGTGCGGTTAGAGAAATTTTAGTTCGGATCGGTTTCGGTTCGGATAATTAGAGGTTCGGATTAAGATATTTTCGGATTCGGATAGTTTGACGTTTAAGTACCTACTTAATAAATAAATATTAAGGTTAAAAAGTTATAATTTTCATTTTTATATACAAAAACTAAAATATAAATACTACGCAGTTGTGATATTGTAAAAAAAATATATATATGATATTGTTGTTGTGATATTAATCTTGGTTCGGTTATAAACGCTGAAGTTCAAATTCATATCACTCAAATTTAACAAAAAGTTAACCGTACTACGTAATGACGGGTGTTGACGTTGTTGCTAGATATTCACGGGTGTTTTTATGATTTTGGTAAATCATGACGGACGTTGTGGCAAAGGTAAATCATCTCAAATGTTACCAGGGGCGGCTCCAGGAATAATTGTTTGGGTAGGCCTGACAAGGATCAAGAAGGAGTTAGATTGGGGGACAAGAGGTTTGTGGAGCTTTCCCGGAAAAAGGGAGGAATTTACAAATTGAAATGCAAAATAAGTTTGAATGCTTTCCCTTTATTTACATAGAATTACATTTATTTATTTATAATTATGAAGTATCTACTGAAATTTTGGGTTTGCCCGGGCCTTCCTAGCCTACCCTCTGGAGCCATCCCTGTATTCTCAGATCAATACTATCAAGGATGTCGCTGTGATCAAAAATAACGTTGAATGGTTTTGTAGAGCCAATGTTGTAGTTGAATGGTTTTGTGTATGTAGAGCCACCAGTCGCTACCAGTAGCAAAAAACGATTAAGTTAAGAAACTGACTAATTTTAAGGGCTAAGTTTTGACCAGAAAATTTTGAATTTTTATCATGAAAACCTGGAATTGTCTTTAAAGTTTTATTTTCATGGGGCACTGAACACCCTGTTATACCGGGAACAATTAAATAACAAAATAATTTAAATAATACCTAAAATAATAATATAGCACCAAAAAGTACTATTTTATTATCAGTTTGAATGTCTTGGTATTCATTTGTCTCTAAAACTATTTGTGAATTCTTAATTAAATACAAGATGATTTCAAAATAAAAAAACTATCTCATTCTATTGGGTCTTATATTCACTATTTTTTTGACTGCTCGGTCAGTCTTGAGAAAAACTTGCATTGACTTACTTTTTAACAAAGATTACAACAGAAGTATTAAGATCACTGTATTATGATGTTCCCTCTTAAAACATAAGGGTTTCTCTGGTGTAAGAACGATAGTCTGTTGATGGAACCTGTCCCCTCACGCTTCGTCTACCTGGGCCTGGGACCTTAAACCATTGGCCAGTCCCCAGATAGATGGAGTGTCGGGAGACATGTTATATCATTCAGAGTATATATACAGATTAAAAACTAGGTTTAATTTCATTTCATTGCTTGTTATAGTTGATGAAATGCTGGCACATCCCTTCGAGACACGATCAGACAGTTTCTATTTTGTCGACGACCGCCTCATAATGCACAACAAGGCTGATTATTCATATGATGGAGGAGATTACAACGCTATCTAGAAGTTTAGAAACGTCAAAACCAGAAATTCTGAATCTTGGAACTGAAACAAAAACTTCCTAAACTGAATATAAAAATTGAAATTGCAAAATTCTATTTACTAGGCTGTCTTAACAGTATAAAAAATAAATCTCATTACTTTGAATAAACAAGTTAACTGTCTCTTGAACTAGCCTTGAAAATTATTAGTTCTAGGAGTATCAGAGAAATAGTTATCTGTAGCTTAACCATGTTTATTTTTAAACAAAATTAGCAAGATTCAATTTGTAGACTACCCCTTGAAATTCAAAATTAATTACTATTAACTGCAACACATAAGCCTAAAAAAATTAGAAAACAAGAAGCAGTAGAATATTTTAACATCCGAATGATTTTAATATCAAACAGGAGACGGCTGGAATTGGAACTGACTAACCACAAGTCAAAATTAGGCATTTTAAACTCTCTAATCTTATCAATCAACAAAAGTTTTGGAGGTTTTGAGTTTCAGTTTTAACACATCACCAAGATGTATATATAATTGTTATGTTATGAGCTCTGGTGGCAGATAAAAACCACATAGCTATAATGGTGCATAAACGACCTTAACCTTTTTACACGAATCAATTTAACCATCAAGAATTGGGTACAAACACATTTTTTCATCTAATGAAGGTTTAGAAAGAGACAAAATTAATGCAATTCAATGATGCTTACACACTAGAAAATATCTTGTATCCGTCACCTATGTCAATTGATAACTTGACATTCAAAAGAATATTGTCTACATACGAGTATATCTATCATTCTCATCTTAATTAACTAAACACTTAACACTATATGGTAATAAGTACACATTCTGTGTTTGAATAACTATTTGTATGAAATTTTGTTCTTGCGCTTATTTAGGTGTTAAGTTATATCGCCATAAGCCTGTGACGAAAATCTGCCACCAAGATCTAAGCTTTACTTTTTATTTAGTTCAAAGGAATAGATAGCACAAATATTTATACATTGTTATTGAAATAAAACTACATTTGTAAGTTGAACTTCTAAGTATTAAGAGATGGGTTGATTTATTCCTTATTCTTTTCAGTTAAGCGTAGCATTCGACTAAACCCTTCTAGTCAAAGAGTATTTGTTGAAGTTGTTGATAGAATTGACCATCTCACACATTGTTGCACTTTTGTTCATTTGCAACTTCACTGTGTTAATAATTGTAAGAGCACTGGAGATATTTGTTGTTAGTTCCAGTTTACTCAGTATGGATGCTCTCATTGCTCTGTCCCTTTCATAAACAGTAGTTTAAGTACAATTTAATAAGTTGGGACTTTTCAGTTGTTTTGTAAAGTTGGAAGTTTTTTTTGTTTTTAAAGAATAGGACTCGCTGTTTGTTTTGAACCTAATTTTTGACATTTTGTTGAAGTAAATATGCCTGAAATTCAAATATTGTAGTTGGGAATATTTAGTTTTGTTGTAAAGCATATTAACAGTTGTCTTCACTAATTTGTTTCGTACAAGTACTCACCTTCTGAACACACAATTTTACAAATGAAGTTACAGTTTAATATTTTAAAAATTGATAATACAACTTATGAACAACTAATTGATCAACTTTATTCTTAAGTACAGTAGTTTTTGAATGTAAATTAAGGAAGTTGTACTTAGTGAAATAAATACTATATTGTACATAAAAGACTGAAGTGAAGTAAGTCTAAACTTGTGCAATTTTCATATCACATTATTGAGTTATGGTAGGTGCTTACGGTTAAATATTTCTTACCATACTGTTCATTGTGCTGGAGTACATTCCATAATGTTCTTTTTTTACTAAGTCTTGGTTGATCTCATTGTTACTGATCTCTAAGGTTTCAGTGCTAAACCTTATGTAAATGTTTCCATGGCATTTATTGTGTTACCAAAGTGAGGTCTGGTCAAACAGCATAATAAAGATTTTTTATTATTACAACATAACTGTCATTTCTACTCCCATTCCCATTTATAACTAAAATGGAAAAGTAATTTGGTTGAAAAAATTTGTTATAATTAATTTTAGTTGTACTATTCATGTTATCCTCCTTTACAGATTGATATACGCAATATGTTAAATATTAATTATGTATAAAATGGTTTAAATGCCTGCATTAAGTAATCCTTTTGTTAATGTTGTGGCAACTGGTTTCGGTTCTTAAGAAATAAATATAACAATCGTCAGGCCTATAAGACATCAACTCAATCGCTTCATTTGAAGGTCATCAGTCACCTATACAATTTATTCCGGTCTTATATTTATCACTAATTTTAAGTCCATTCTCAAATTTAAAGAGTAATTAGGTTTGGCAGGGAAACAGTATATTATAAATCACTGAACAAAGAATAGATTTATTTAAAAATACAAGTACAACAATACTTATTGTTATCATTTTCAGTCTCTTGAGTACATTAGCTCTAAGTAGCATGTTGAATGTATCCATTAGGTCCAAAGTGTTATGTTTATTATAAGTGTATTCAGCACTACCACAAGGCATTTTTGTATACTTTACAAACAATGAAATTTTTTACCCAAAGAAAAGAGTAGTCTTTTATACGTAAACATATTTTTTTAATCCGAAGCTTCCCAATGCCCGTTTTTCCAGGGTTGGAAAAAACATAAAAGATGAATTTTTTACTTTTTATTGTAAAATATTACCAAATTTTATGACTAAAATAAAAGTGATTGTCATTTTTAATGATAGGAGATTGTATACAGGGTGTGAAAATGTTCTGGGCCAGTTAAATACTTCAAATAATAATAAAGATAGAGTTAAACAACTTGGTACAAGGTTACTGGGCATTAAAATCATTTTAACAAACTATTCAGTGATACGCTACCTCCTAAGGAGGGCATCCGCTAGAAGTCTGAAGAAAATCATGGTAAGCATAGGGTGGTAAATTAAAGGTGTTTATAGGTTTACAGGTGTTAGAATACAAAACTGCAAATTTGAGCTCAAAAGAACTGGGTTTAAAAAATAAAATGGCAGCCGTTAAAAAAGGCAGATTCAAGAAATCTTAGAAAGGCCGCCATTTTTGACTCAGTTATCCGTTAAAGTTCAAATTTGCGGAATTGTATTCTACTGGTAAAGGCCTTTCATTTGATGATATCAATCAACCTATGCATAAATTGAAGATTTTATTCTAACTCCTAGTAAGCCGCCCCCTGAGGAGGTAGTGTACCACTGAATAATGTGTTAAAATGAAATTAATGCCAAGTAACTTTCTACCAAGTTTTGTTGTAGCTCTATCTTTTTTACGATTTGAAATATTTAACTGTACCGGGACTTTTTCCACCCTGTATATTATATTGTAAGATTAGAAATTTGGGATTCTCCATTAAAAAGAAAGTAAACTAATATCTTTGGGGGGATCACCAACCTTAAAAACCTTTTTATTGCTACTAATTCCACAGTGAACGTGTGGAGGAAGTTTTAGACCTTCACTTAGTAGCAATGTGAGTATGAAACTAATACAACTTTTAGCATTTAAAATGTAAAACACCTTTGTTTGAATAAGTTTAAATCATTAAAATAATATATTTCAAAAACTGACAATACTATGAGACTCGGTCTTTGAAATAAATCTAACAGCAAAAATCATATTTTAATCCTTTGCGGCACTGCTATTTTCTTCAGATACAACACTTAAGACTCAAACCGATCTTAACATTCATTCTCGACTATGTACTAACATTATTAACAGAATAAAGCCAATTTTTGGTTTGTTGGTAGAAAAAAATACATAGAAACGAGTTCTGAGGAATTAGGGACGTTCGATCCAAACGCCACCCTTATACCTCTATAATAAATACATAGTTCAACAAATACAATATTATTAACTACAGTAAAAAAATAATTGAATTGCTTTTCATCAGCATTGTTCAAATTTGGTGTCTCACACATTTTAGTTGACTTAGCTTTCATTACATTGGATTTTCTGGCACTTAACTTACTACTATTCATGGGTAGACGAAGTTATATTTTGAGGTTGTACAATTACTACAACCTATAACCCAAAGTGAGTCCAACAAATACCAAGTGTGACAAGTCCAATAAAAAATCAAATAAATTCATGAAGTAGTAAAGTGTTGTTTAACCCTACAAGTACAGACATAAAAATGTAGGAAAATACAGGAAGAGAATCTATGTTTGCACAATGGACATTCTTGGTCCACAAGTAATTGAGTAGAATTATAGTAATATTAGTAATAGTCACTACTCATGGTAACACGTCCTGGATATGTTATAAATCTATATTTTAAGATCATAATAAGATGACTAGTTATGACAAAATTGTCATAAAATTATGTCAACAAAAGCTTAAAACAATCAAAAAAGATCGGCAACCAAATTTCACAAAACATCTTATATACTAATGAATATAAACAATTAAGAGGTTTGAACTGTCAACAAAACACCAATTATAGGGCAATGCTTGAGATACTGGTCATCCAATTTCATGAAATACGGTAGTTAAGTTTGTTACCTCACATTCAAGTCTAACATTTTTTCTTAAATCTACAAGTACCATTTGAGACAACAGGAACATTCATTTGAATTGGTACTCCTATATCACAGTTTAAGGTTTGAACTTTATACATAAATACATTGGAGAAAATTTCACATTTAACGCAAACATTAAAAACAAAGACAGCTTTAAAAATAAGGTCATCTTATGAGTCATCGGGGATAAGCAAATCCAAATTTGCATTAGTTACGTTTGAATTTGTATGGGTTTGTTCTCCTCCTCTTATAGACAGGGTGACGCTGTTCGCTTGCCGCTCCTGCAAAGTATTAAAGCCAAAATTAGTGTTCCATTAAATGAAAACCATACAAATTAATTAATCACCATTAAATTATAGGGAATAAAGGGATATTAATTTGTTTTCAAAGCTGGAACGGTACAAAGGCTCGTGCCTAGCGTCTTAGTAAAAAAAAAAAAAAAAATACCTTAAAATCTAGGGAACGTTCCTGATTATTATAACAAAGTAACGGTACAGTCTTTCTCATTTTTACCTATGTTTCAACAACAGCAGAATGAATTTGTACTTCTAGAATCTCTAAAACTGAATAAAATTAAAATATAGGATAAGGTTTAAGCCAATTACCTTCATCATAGGCGCCCTGATCCAATTGCCTTGCCCACAATTGCGACAGTTATGTAATGGAATTATTTCCAGTGTAACAGTGCGTTTTTTGCAACTCTGACACTGGAAGAATCGCTTTACTGCACTGATAACTTTGATTGGGTGATTTTCTGCTTTGCATTTGTCAGACGCCGAGAACCATTTGTATTTGCACTGAAACAAAGAACATTGTTAACAAACTTCTCTACATGTGCTCCAAAGGTTACACAGCTTTCACCTATAAATAAGCTGTATATTATAGGTATTCAGCACATGGCTTCAGGTCATATTAAAGTATCAGATGAGTAGTATGGTGCATTTAGACCTAAACCTCAACATCCAAAGTGAAAGCTAACTATCAATTCCAAACTGTTTGATATAGTCCCCAAAATGTATGGTAAAAAGTAGTGATGTGTCGGTTCCGAATTTTAGCGGTTCGGTTCCGGTTCGGTTCTTAACCAAAACCGGTTCCCGGTTCCCGGTTCTCAAAAAAAAAAAAAAAAAAAAAAAAAAAAAATTCAAAAATATAAAAATTTGATAAAACAAAATAATTAAACACAATTTCTTTTGGGCACTCGAGTTTATTTTCAAATTACAAATCAGTCCAACTCTGAAACACACAAGTCTTTAAGCACAGATCTAAGCACAGTTTAGAAAATATTTTCTCTAGAAACTATCAAATATATTTTTATTTTATGAAATTATCCCTTTAGTAAGTACAAAATTAAAATATGCAAAGCTTTAATAGGTATACGTCAGCAGAATTTAAATCAATACATTTTTAGAGTCGTCTAATCTTAACGTTGATTCCAAGTCCAATTGTTATTTACTGACACATTCAAATACCAAATGAACTGATAAGACTATACTGCCTAAGAAACACAATCAGAATAGGGAGAAACAAAAGAAAAATAATCATAAAATCTCTTAAAACTAAAAACTACAATAAAGATTCTACAGATACGGAATGTAAAAAGAAACTACAGTATATACAGGAAGGTCTTACGAAAAATGAACAAATGTTTCATTTTCTGATCAGCAGTAGGCCTACATTTTAATCGACGTTTCTATTAAGAAAAACCAACATTTTAATTCGTTCAGGATCTAGCCTATTCCTTTTAGAATCACATATGTTTCCAGCGACACTGAGACGATCTAATCATAAACTATAACTCTTACCGTAGAACCAAACTGTAAAGCTCGAATCATAAAATTGACCGTAAATAATAAAAAACTAAATTTCGACGACACTAGCGATCAGTGTCACCAACATGAACTAGACACGGGCTATGGTGTAGTCATCTCAGCAGACGCCATCCTTACTTCTGTCATGAAGATAAGTTCGTATGTACATTGATCTACTACTATTCTTCTGCTCAACCTGTTTATGCCCAGTACCATAAACACAACTATGTAACATAATTGCGCCTGTAAACAAACATTAAAACAAAACAACTAAAATACAACAGCAAAAAAAAGGAACAAGGTTACAAAAACTTCACAACTAGGCCTACGAATACAGTTTATTATTTATTGTTGAACTGACACAGCAGACGGATCCAATTCCATCGTTTCGTTCATTCAGTCAATCCGACATAACACACAGCAGCTGCCGACGCCGTGGACGCAGAACTAGCTTGGTGAAGGTTATTTGCTGAAAACGTCTATGTTAATTTAATATTTATCCATCTCCAATTCTCTATCAATTAATTACAACAACATTTATGAGTTGTATGTTTTATTTTATAATTATAATTGTAGCTATTGGAGAGTAATAACCAACATTAAATAACGATAACAATATATAATATGATACAACAAATCTTTTTAAGAGCTGATAATTACGTAAAGTAGCCTAGTTGACGGTATTAAATGGAACCGTTGGACCGAAGAACCGACAATTTGCCAACGGTTCTCGGTCCCGGTTATTTTCCCAAGAGCAAGCATTGCTCGAGGTGTTTCATTTGTTTAAGAGGTAAAAAAATAGAACTTAAGCCTACAAATATTTTCAGTTTTACTACGATTAATTAAGTTGTAGATTCAATTTGTTTTTGGTAGATATCCACTCATCCTTAATTTACCTAACAGACTTTTTCATGTGGACGGGCAATTTATAAAATTTCTACAATAAGCTTCAATATAAAACTCAACATTAATACAAAACATCTGTTATCTGTTGACCGTTATAGCATTAGTCACTGAGATCGCGAAACGTCGCAACTATAATTACGGGATGGTGTAATAACGCACCAATTTGTGCGGCGCATCAACGAAAACTACAAAACATCCTTGGCTTTCCCTTTGGACTTATAGTTCAATATCAGTGTATAATGTTTTGCTGTAAAATACTTAATGTTTTTTACAGTTGTAATTATCCCTTTGGTTAGTAATACATCCTACAATCCAAATTTATTATATAAGCAATGCTCAATAGCATTCATAGAATTCATAGCATCCCTTTTCCTTTGTACTGTATTTTGTTATTTGCTAACTGTACTGTAGATGATTTGTTACAAGTTTATGTTACAATCCATCTGTTTACATTTTCGTAACACTGTCATAGCTACTTGACAGTCCATAAGACTAATGTTAAAAATATTAAAATAAGTTTTTAATGAAAAGTGAATTTTCCCAGAACAGAGCCTCGCATGGACATTGTTTTTAGCCTAAAACTAAGATATTTCTAACAATTTGAATAAAAATCTTAGGAGCCGTTTTTTTAAATCGTTGTGCGCAAACTTTACACATATTAGAGTATAGATTTGTAAGCAAGATGTGTCATTATTTCATTACCTACGAAATCCTTTAAAACAACTGCCCAACAAACAGCTAGAACTACTTCTACAAAAACTAACTTTATTTTCTATCAGTTAGTTTTTCAACTAACTAATAACTTCTATCAGTTACTTTTTACGGGACTAACTAATAACTTCTAACTAGTTAGAATCTTTTAATAGCTTTCCCAACTATGACTTTTTACAACACAAACTAACACTGTATGGTTTTAAATTTTTTCGGTTTTTCGTTTGTAATTATACTACGCCCAAAAAACTTACAAAGAAAAAGATTTTCCTAATCAAATCAAATCAAAATATCTTTATTCATACACAAGTACATGTTAGTACATCTGAATAGTGTCAATTTAAATTAACATTAGCTTAACTATTCATATACTCTTCCATGGAATATAATACTTTGCAAACCAAGTAAGTTTTTAGTTTTAGTTTAAATTTGGAACTGTTTATTTGACACTTTAATTCTTTTGGCAATTTTCTAAAATAACTTGCTCCTTTGTAAGTCGGCTTCTTTGTGTAAAATTCAAGTCTTTGGTGAGTGGGAATGATTTCATTCTTTTTTCTTCCTAACATGTTATATATTTCTATGTAGGGAATTAGATTGTCTATTTATATAATGAATTTCCCATAAAAAATCTGTAGAAAAAATTTCACCCAGGCTGCTTTTGAAATTTAAAAAATAATTCTATATTCTTTTATTCTTATATATATATTTACCGAAAAAAATCATTATTGAGCGAAGCTCTTATACGTCGACTCTTATGCATTACAAAATACGCAAACTCCTCTAGACGGCTGAATCAATCGTTTTCAAATTTTGCATAGTGATACAAGACCATATCGGTGAGTGCCAACATCTATATGGCGTTAAAAAAGTCTCTCAGGAATCCGCCCCACTGGATCTCAAAGTTTCAATGTAATCCTTATGGAAGCAGTATTTGACACATAAACAAAAACATATGATCAGCTGTTGGCTTTTGAATGCAGTAGATAAAGAAATAGCTGATAGCATTAATTCACAGATATTAGAACAGAAATGGTATGGATCATAAATATAATCAAATGACGACACTAGCTTGAGGTCCGTGACGTAGGAAGTGGTGAAGGAAGTAGTAAAGGTGAGTAGTCTGGAGTGTGGAAACTGTTTATGACGATAAGATTTAGGTATCAGCATTCCTAAAATTCTATGGGAAGGGAGGAAAACGGGTCCGCGACGTAGGATGTGGTGAAAGAAGTAGTCAAGGCGAGCTGTCCGGAGTGTGGAAACTGTTTATGGCAATTAGATTAAGGTATCTGCATTCCTAAAATGCTATAGGAAGGGAGGAAAACGGGTCCGCGACGCAGGAAGTGGTGAAGGAAGTAGTGAGGGCGAGTTGTTCGGAGCGTGGGAACTGTTTATGACGATTAGATTAAGGTTTTTGCAATCCTAACATGCTATGGAAAGGGAGAAAAACAGGTCTGTGACGTAGGAAGTGGTGAAGGAAGTAGTAAAGGCGAGATGTCCGGAGTGTGGGAACTGTTTATGACGATTAGATTAAGGTTTTGCAATCCTAACATGCTATGGAAAGGGAGAAAAACAGGTCCGTGACGTAGGAAGTGGTGAAGGAAGTAGTAAATGCAAGCTGTCTGGAGTTTTGGAACTGTTTATGACGATTAGATTAAAGTATCTGCAATCCTAAAATGCTATGGAAAGGGAGGAAAACAGGTCCGTGACATAGGAAGTGGTGAAGGAAGTAGTAAAGGCGAGTTGTTCGGAGTGTGAGATCTGTTTATGACCAATATATTAAGGTATTTGCAATCCAATAATGCTAAGGAAAGGGGGGGAAACAGGTCCGAGACGTAGGAAGTGGTGAAGGAAGTAGCCAAGGCGAGCTGTCCAGAGTGTTGGAACTGTTTTTGACGATTAGATTAAGAAGGTATCTACAATCTTAAAATTCTATGGGAAGAGAGGGAAACAGGTCCACGACGTAAGAAGAGGTGAAGGAAGTAGTAAGGTGAGCAGTGTGGAGTGTGGGAACTGAAACCGTTTGTAGCAGTTAGATTAATTTATCTGCAATGCTGAAATGCTATGAGAAGGGATGGAAGCATGCCCACGACATAGAAAATGGGGAAAGAAGTAGTAAAGGCTAGCAATGCGGAGGAGTGTGGGCAATGTTTGTGGCAATCAGATTAACGTATCTAAAATATTAAAATGCTATGGAAAGTGATAAAAACAGGTCCACGATGTAGGAAGTGGCTTAGGAAGTAGTAAAGTATGAGCATAGTGTGAGAACCGTCTGTAGCAGTTATATTAATGTATCTTCAATCCTAAAGTGTTATGAGAAGGGAAGGAAACAGGCCCCACGACGTAGGAAGTGGTGAAGGCAGCAGTAAAGACTGGCAGTGCAGAGTGGGGGAACCGTTTGGGCAGTTAGATAAATGTATCTAATACTTAAATGCTATAAGAAGGGAAGGAAACAGGTCTATGACGTAGGAAATGGTGAAGGAAGAAGTAAGGCTTGCAGTGCAGAGTGTGGGAACTGTCTTTTACATTACATTAATGTAGGCCTATCTGCAATCCTAAAATGCTATGGGAAGAGAGGGAAACAGGTCCACGACGTAGGGGGTGGTGAAGGAAGTAGTAAAGGTGAGCAGTGTTGAGTGTGGGAATGGATTAATGTATATGCAATGCTAAAATACTATGGGAAGAGACTGTAGACTGTAGGTTAAAATGATTACTAAGCACGAATCGATACATATTTCGATACATGTAACTGTTTACAATAGAAATTTACAACTGAGTTGACAACAGCTGATTTTTACTCCATAGAGGCTAAAAACGATTTTTACTCCCTAAAGAGTAAAAATGCTACTTTGGACCCGTAACGCATGCATTAAAAATGACTGTTTTTACTGCAGTATGACAAAAACAATACAGTAGAGTCCCGCAAACTCGGCGTAATGTGGACTGGAAGGGTGCCGAGTTTGTGAAATGCCGGGTTATTGGGAACTAGGGTTAAAAACAAGAACAATACAATTTTTAAGCTTATTAACTACCTCTTTTATTTATATTTATATCACAAGTTAGGGTACTTTCCTGTTAAAGGGAACATTCATTATTATCGAAGATTTTTTTCTCGATATATCGATATTAACAAATTGAAACATATCAGCTGACAACTACGAAAAATATTGTTCAGTATCAACAAACATCAATGAAATGAAACTTTTCTAAAAAAAATAACCTAACATAACTAACCAAACTTGCTGTAACATTTAAAAATTCTGTGTTTATAACTTGCCTTTTATATTCAAACCCAAACGAAATTTTTAAAATGGTACAGCACGTTTGGTTGGCTATGTTAGGTTAGCTTAGAACAGTTTCATTTCTTAATCCATATAACAGACTATTTTAGCCTAAACAAGACCAGTTAGTTGTTGTTGTTGTCAATTTGTAATGGATCGGAAAACAAAAACATCGATATATCGTGAAAAAAATCTTCGATAATAATGAATGTTCCCTCTAACGGGAAAGTACCCAAGTTAGTATTAAGTCATCAGATATAGTACAACAAATCATTTGTACGAGCTGAGAATGATTTGACTTGAGCTGGCTTGAGTCCATGTTTAACTCGGACTCAAAAAATGACTAATTTTCTGAGCCAGGTGATGGCCGAGTTATCCAGACTGCCGGGTTATCGAGAGCCGAATTTGCGGGACTCTACTGTATAATAAGAATCCTTGATGACTCCGCTCAATTTTGTGACGCCTCTGCGAACGCCACCTAGTTATATTATTTCTAGAATCTCCTGTTTTTTCCGAACAAAATGAATACGAGGTTGTAGGTTTACTTATACAGTTGAATTTTTATGAATAAAAAAAAAGTTCTGCAAATTTGCCAAAATGGGTTGGCCATTCCACACTTCTATTCTAACATTGGCCACTGCTAGGGTTAAAAGTTGAACAATTGGTAGTTTTTAAGAAGTTATTTGGGAAACTATATGGCTTAACACAAAATATGTTATTTAGAAATATAATTTACGATAACCTTGCTCTTCCTGTCTTTTTTTCATTGTCTTGCAAAGAGAACGGTTACAGAGTTACAAAATGTTAAAACTGGACATGTTTTAAACATCTTTAACTTTGAAATATATTATTTAAAATAAATACGGTAACTATTTTATACAGGATACTGTTTTTGTGATTTGTAAAGGCAAATTTTGATTTTAGTGGCTTATGAATGTAAGTGATCAGCCCTTAAAGGAGCGGCAACCATACTAGGCCTCACCCCCTTCTCATTGGGCGCAAATTTTTAATTATTTTAAAAGTTAATAATATTTCATTTATAATAAATAAATTGCACACAACCGTGAGTCATTTTGAACGAACAAGGATTTTTTTTTAAATTATTGGTCTTGGATTTATAAGTAAGTAGTTTTTATTTCTCTTGAGTTTAAAAATACTTGATTATTGCGTCTAATCTAAGATAGTTTATAGTGTGTAGTGATAATTGAAGTAGGGACATAAAAGTCATGTCCGTGTTTATGTCTTTGATTAAGAAAGACAACTGTACAGTACTAACCTTGAGGCATCTGACAGCCTTACAATCGATTTTAAAGGTTGTCAGCATTTTTTCCTCAAGTGCCTCCTTCTTCTCCATTTTTTGGAAGTATTCTTGGACATCACTTTCCTCAGCTTGCTCAGCCAAGGAAGTGTGTTTAGAGGATGTATTCATAAGCTCCAAAAATCTTCTGGAGAGCTTGGATTTTCCATCTAGAAAAAAAAATGGATATAGACATTGTAGATCTATAACAAGGTGTTTTTGGCCCAGTATCAATCTGTGTATGATGATGAAACCTTTATCAAGTAAAGTGGTGAGTCGGTGGCTCAGTTGGTAGCGTCACGGACTTCGAGCCCAAGGCAGCGATGTCGTGGGTTCGGATCCTGGGCACTGCTGCAAACATTTTATCAGTACAGTTCACCTTTGTACCGTACCGGCTCTCCCCTTGCCTTGCTGGATACATTTCGCGTACTGTAGTTATGTGGACGGGCAAATGCAAGGTTAAAAGAGGCCATCAACCTCTTTAAACAAAAAATAAATAAACCAACAAATTAATTAAACGAAGAGGTAATTGAGATAAGCCGGTTCCTGTTTGTAACATTCCGAGCAAGCTAAAAAATTTATGTTATAGAAACATACATGCCTTGCATCAGTAGGTATAACCTTTGACTATTAATAGAACTAGACATTCCATCCCCATGTTAAATTTATAGCCAGATTTTTTCAAAATCGTTGTAGTTGACGTGAGCCACCGACAGATTGCACTGATCTAAATTACTGAATTCTGTCGAATACACAATTTTCTTACAAAGTCAAACTTAGGGAATGACTTATGGTGAGCTATAGCAACACTTCAACCTGTTCAGCAACAAAATAAGGAAGGACATACAATTATAGATACTAGCACATTCTGGTACTGGCTTCCACAACTACACATTATTGTTTTAATAAAACATTGGCAACAGCTGGTCCATATGGATGGGATGTTTACTTCCGTATCCAATAGTCAATGGTATACCTTTTTAAAAAGCATCCATTTGGAGAGAAATCTATTTTCCGCATCATGGCTAATATAGAAATATTTACTTTAAGAAATAGTTTTTGCACTTATGAATACTCTTAAAAATAAAACTTTTGTAATTTCTCATAATACCATTAGTCCAGTCGATATAATCAAAAATAGGGGGGTTAGCTGGAAAGTATTCCAAACTTGATGGAATTTTTACATGTTGTCTGGGGGTACTCTGGGATGTATATCTTGAGTTTTCAACCTCTAGCACCCTGTGCTAACTCTAGGAGAGGCCAAAAACTTCAAAATCTTCGATATTTTTTAGGTTTTTTGTTTATATCATGTATCTTAAGCATATTTTGTATACCATTGTGCATTACAAAATTGCAGAGCATAACATTTGCAAAATTTTGGTTGTTAAAACAATTTTGTAGACTCAATATTAGCTGAAATACGGGCGAACAAAGTTTTATTTGTTTATTTTTATGTACGCAAATTGTTGAAAACAAAAAGTTTCGGCCCTATAACTATTTATTACTATCTTTGCCATGTATTTATTCATCTTGGAAACCCTATTAACCCCCCCCCCCCCATCACCCATCATGCACTCACCCAACACTCTCGGTGGAATCTTGATCAAAATTGGCCCAGAAGTTTAAATTAAATCTAGTGTTTTAAATCATTCAAATATTGTAAATACTATATTGAATGTAAACCATGTCAATTTTACCTTTTCCACAGCTATTATATAGAGAAAGTATATTGATTGTTAAAATAAATCAGGTTTTGTATTTACATTTTGGGATTTCTTTTTAAAATTTTTTTACATAACACTAGAGGACCCATGCTGCTCCGCAGGATTAAAATAAATATAATATCCAAGAAAATTATCAGATTTATGATTTTTTATTGAGTAATACAGTTTTGTTCACCTTGCGTTTGCTTGGGACTCGTCCGATTTGAATAACTAATAGCTTAATGAAAGCTGGCATATCACTGAAGGGTCTTAGACCAAAATATATAGGATTATATAAATATAACTTGTGAAATACATCTTAAATTGTAGTATGAATTCGATTTGAATCAAATTATGTTTTTTGGTCAAGTAATAGACTAGTGTAATACAGTAGGTAAATATATGGCGATGCTTGATGTGAAGTCTTTGTGTGCATGCCTTCAATTTGAGACCTCAATCATGAAAATCGGTCGGATAGATGAGCCAAACGAACTCGGAAAAGAGAAACTATTTTTTTTAATATATAAGATGTGCAGCGATTCAATGAAAACTTCTGTACCAATTTTGATCAAGTTTCCACCGAAAGTGTTTGGTGAGTGCATGAAGGGGTTAATAGGTATTCCAAGATGTTAAATATTAATGAGTGTTTAAAATCAACTTTGTAATGCACAATGGTACACAGAATATGCTTAATTTACAACATATAAACAAAAAAACATCAAAAATACCGAAAATTTAGAAGTTTTTGACCTTTCCTAAAGTTAGCACAGGGTGCTAGAGGTTGAAAACTCAGGATATACATCCCAGAGTACCCCCAGGCAACATGTGAAAATTCCACCAGGTTCGGAATACTTTCCAGGTAAAAAGTGTATATCTACTGGACTACATTACTAAATTAAGTATTCAATACCTTTAATCAGTAATTTTGTTGGCGTCTCAATATAAATACTGTACAACCAATAGGCATGTGCATAACAGTTGTTAAGAACTTATGAGTAAAATAAAGTTATTTTTGAATAATTAACTCAAAACTCACCCTCAGTGTGTGTAGTGTCCTCTAATTCTGTCCGTTTTCTTTTCTTTTCGCTTGCTTTCTGGTCATTGCTAATTGGTCCCTTTCTTTTCACATAGGCCAGAGCTTTTTTCTAAAAACACATCAAATACTTTTAAATTTGTGATTGGTCCAGCATTCCAATTAGGTAAGCAAAATGTAACTTATGGCCGTACCAACAACCAAGCTGTTTGAGCGATAGAGTAATATACTTTTAAGTTTCAGTGAATTTATCCTTAGGAGAGAAGCTATTAGCGTGGCATGATAAGACCTACACCGAGCGCCAGCAGATTGTTATTCGGTTTTTAATGAGACTCTGGCAAATCATGTAACAAGTTGTGTGGCGATTCTATTGAAATAAAGTCAAGATTTAATAATAGTGTTGTGAGTTATTTTTGATGTGATACATATAAGTAATACATTCTAACTAACAATCCCTTACTACCAAAAACTTAGTATTCTAAAAACAATAACTAAAAAAAATATCAATGTATAATATTAATATTTACACTCCGTCGTGTTTCTTCTTTCATAATTATTAAATTCACATAGTAAATTTATAATTCATAATTAATTTAAATTCACGGACATTTAAAAAATTGTTTAAATATTTTGTATCAAGAAAGGGCTTCACCCTTTGCACGTGCCCAGGGCCGCAGCTCTGATGGTCATTAATTTTAACCAAATAAAGTCAAAATTTAGTAATAGTGCCATGAGTTACTGTTCAAGTTAATCACTTCTTAAAATAAACTTCTTAAAGCTCTAGCATCAATTCAGAGCATAGAAATGATAACAGAAGTTACAGACCACTCTGTTATTGGGTTTCATTACAAAAAGCATGCATTATAATATTATAATGACGAACAATACAAAAATCATAATTGACTGAACTACTTTAAAACCAATAATTATAGGTATTGTTTATGGAAAAATCATATGTTAATGAAATAGAAACAAAGAATGCCTACGACGTTTCTAAAACTTTCTTTGGACTCACTCACCTTTGCAGCTGAGGACCTTTGCCCTGTTGTAGGGCCCCAATGCATTCCCCAAGTTTCTTCTAATATTTTGTCTTCTTCTGTGAGTTTGGGAATTATATCAACGACTAAAGGTGTGTTTTTATTTCCACTGACATTGTGTTTTTCATCAGAATGACTACCTAATTTTTTTAAGCCCCACTCTGCTTCCCAGTCATCGTCGTCTTCTCTCACAGTCCCTTTAGGTTTACAGTCTTTAGGAGTTGATTTTTGTTGACACAAATTTTGTATTTCTCTTGTTTCTGAGTTCTTTCTATTTGGTGTTTTTTCAGAAACACTGTCTGTGAGTTTGGGAATTATATCAACGGCTAAAGGTGTGTTTTTATTTACACTAACATTGTGTTTTTCATCAGAATGACTACCTAATTTTTTTAAGCCCCACTCTGCTTCCCAGTCATCGTCGTCTTCTCTCACAGTCCCTTTAGGTTTACAGTCTTTAGGAGTTGATTTTTGTTGACACAAAGTTTTCATTTCTTTTGTGACTGCAATCTTTCTATTTGGTGTTTTTTCAGAAACACTGTCTGTGAGTTTGGGAATTATATCAACGGCTAAAGGTGTGTTTTTATTTACACTAACATTGTGTTTTTCATCAGAATGACTACCTAATTTTTTTAAGCCCCACTCTGCTTCCCAGTCATCGTCATCTTCTCTCGCAGTCCCTTTAGCTTTACTGTCTTTAGGAGTTGATTTTTGTTGACACAAAGTTTTGATTCCTCTTGTTTCTGCGTCCTTTCTATTTTGTGTTTTTTCAGAAACACTGTCTGTGAGTTTGGGAATTATATCAACAGCTAAAGGTGTGTTTTTATTTACACTAACATTGTGTTTTTTATCAGAATGACTACCTAATTTTTTTAAGCCCCACTCTGCTTCCCAGTCATCGTCGTCTTCTCTCACAGTCCCTTTAGGTTTACAGTCTTTAGGAGTTGATTTTTGTTGACACAAAGTTTTCATTTCTCTTGTGACTGCGATCTTTGTATTTGGTGTTTTTTCAGAAACACTGTCTGTGAGTTTGGGAATTATATCAATGGCTAAAGGTGTGTTTTTATTTACACTAACATTGTGTTTTTCATCAGAATGACTACCTAATTTTTTTAAGCCCCACTCTGCTTCCCAGTCATCGTCATCTTCTCTCACAGTCCCTTTAGCTTTACTGTCTTTAGGAGTTGATTTTTGTTGACACAAAGTTTTGATTCCTCTTGTGACTGCGATCTTTCTATTTTGTGTTTTTTCAGAAACACTGTCTGTGAGTTTGGGAATTATATCAACGGCTAAAGGTGTGTTTTTATTTCCACTGACATTGTGTTTTTCATCAGAATGACTACCTAATTTTTTTAAGCCCCACTCTGCTTCCCAGTCATCGTCTGATTCGTTGTCTTTTAACTGAGAAATTGACAACTCATAATCTTTACTTGTATTGCTTGACGTTTTACTACCTTTTGAAAGGATGTTTCTGAAAGCTGGAGCTTTACTAGAAGTTTTAGTTTGGACCAAATTATCAAATCTCCCTTTCTTGGATGGTTTTTTACTTTTCATGTTTTCTTTTGGATTTGGTAGTTCCAGGGGTACTACCTTGTCATCAGCTTTATTTGTATGTGACTGGGCATCAGTTATATTCTTGTTCCTAAAAAAGTATAGTTTTATTAGTCAAATAAAGGTTGTAGGTTGGTTAGTGTTTTAGTTATATAACTTAGGACAAATATGTCACTTATCAAAGCATAACTGCAGGTTTTGGCAATTGATGATAAATGAATACTTGATCAGAATCAGATTCTATTCATTGTCATTTGTCAATATAACATTGCTATAGACAACGTCAAAGAACACAAGAAATAAAGTGATATGCTGTATAAAAGGAAAGAATTGTAGAATAAGGACGGGACCGCGTCTCGTTGTCCCTCCGTCTCGTTGTCCCTCCGTCTACTTGTACCTCGAGGCCTAGGGACAACTAGTCGTAGGTACAACTAGACGGAGGGACAAGTAGACGGTGGCTCACCCGACTAGTTGTACCTGCAGATTTTTAGGAGGTACAACTAGACGTAGGTACAAGTAGACGTAGGTACAACTAGACGTGTATCCCACCGACAAGTAGTATCACCTAGCTTGTACGGATGCGACCAGTTGTCCCTACGACTAGTAGTCCCTACGACTAGTAGTCTCTACGACTAGTGGTCCCTCCGTCTAGTAGTCCCTACGACTAGTTGTACCTACGCGTATTTTGCGTCCTTATAGTCTAGTTGTATCTATCCTTCAATTCGTTACCCTGTTTAATTGATTACTGCACGAGTACTTTTTAATAATACCCTTAATTAAATCAGGAACTGCAGTGTTCCGAGTCGATTGAGTATGATTGGCAAATATTTTTCACCGCAATACGTTGTTTTAGTAGTTTTACAGACGTTAATTGGAGGCTGAAAGCTACGCATTGCTGTCCAGGGTCGAAATGGCAGCTATAGTTGTGATTAAAATTTCCCAGCCCTAGTACCGAAAATCGCTTATTTAATTAAAACATTTATATATATCATTAAATATACAAGCAGTATATCCCTAATGAATTGCAATAGACCGCTGCCCAGCAATTATGTATTACTAATTTTGCTGATTCCTTTATATATTTTTTCACATAACCTTAAAGTATTTGCATTGATTAGTGTGCATATCTTATAGTTTACAATGGATTTCCCAGTGATCAATGAACAATGAAGTGTACAATGAAGTTGAGGTCCAGCGGTTGAAAACTCGACAAAAACTGTGCAATGTACTACACATACTTCTCCATTTAACATACACTGTAAATAATAAATGTGATTGGAATATGTTCCATTTGTTTTGATTTTATTTTCATAATTAGTTGTTATTTCGTCACCAGCATAGCAACCCGTTAAACCCATGTTAGTTTTAAACATTTGTAATTCTTTTTTATGTCTTTTTAGCCTATTTTAATTTATAAAGGCATTCTGTAGATCGACAGGAAAATACATTTCCACCGATGTGTGATGTTCACAAGCTGATAAAAAGGTTGTAAATAAACATGCTTGCCTACATTATTGATATATTTTCTCAGTTTTGTATAGTTTGGTGAAAAACAGCAATCGTACCACGGACCGATTTCATCTTCGTCTCGAACTTAAAAATGATCCCGAGCTGAAAAAAAGTCATTTTCGGCCCCAGGTACGAAATATACTCTTAAACTATCGTAGGATCGGTGAATACTAAACTCTATCTTGGAATTGCATACACTCGCTCCTATCTTTAAGTTTACGTTGTTGCCATACAATAAATGTATAAATAAACACAAAAATTCACAAGTTTTGTTGTAAGTACCTATATCATGTATAAATAAAAACATACAATAGCATCATGTGTAAGTGTATTCTGTAAAACTTTAAACAAATATTAGTAAAATAGTTTTCAGGTAAACTATTGTTGAATGAATTCTAGTTTTAAGTTGTTAAATTAACCTCGACCCGTGCTATATTTTTAATGGAGTTTGTCCGGAAAGATACCATGGTAAAATTAAATCAAATAAATAAAATCAAAAGCAATTCATAACAAAAGAATAATAGATACAGAATGAACGTAATTTCTGAAAATCGACAGAGCCTACATATGCGAAGCCTGTGCGTGGGGACCAAGTTGACTCAATAATTGGCAATTTGTCATAGTCTTGTAACATAATTAACTACCACTACTATAATTATCAATACATTTTCAAAGGAGAAACAAACGTCCGATTATTTCTAGGCAGCCACAACAGATAACTTTAGAAAACTACGTTATAAGAATTAGAACAACTCAAAAATTAAATTGTTAATATGATTTGTTTAGCCTAACGAAGAAAATCATGAAAACCAAATTTAACTCCCATAAGAAAAACATGGGGAGCAATTTCGTTTACGTATAAGCCGAGTGAGATAATAGAAAAATATACGCCGATGCTTGATGGCAAATCTGTGCGTGCATACCTTTAATTTGAGACCTCAATAATAAAAATGGTCGGGTAGCAGAGCCAAACGAATAACCCATTTTCTTAAATTTATAAGATTACTAGCTGACCCGGCGAACTTCGTATCGCCTAAGTTATAGGTTTCCCCTAAGACAGACCGATGGAAAGAAAGTACCGTTACGTTTAATTTTCAAGATGATCTCGTTCGCATCGCTCAATCACGTCCTGGTTGAAGTTCGTTTGCTACGCTCACTCACCTTTGGGTTGGAGCTTGTTCGCTACGCTCACTCACCTGTAGGTTGGAGCTCGTTCGCTGCGCTCACTTGCCTTCAGGTTAGCTCGTTCGGTACGCTAACTCGCCTCCAGGTTGAAGTTCGTTCGCTACGCTCACTCACCTTTTGGTTGCAAATTAGCTGTTGTCATAAATGTAAAAGAAATAATAGTGCTGCACCCTGTTGGTAATCCTTGTAACTTTAATGCTATTGAACATCATAGAACAGAACCAACTTGTTTAATTGAAACAGCTGTTAAGATTCATTAATTCCATTTCTCAAAAGGTTAACATGGGAAACTCCAGAGCCACTGGGGCGGAGCCCTTTTAAGAATTTCGAAACGGGAAATAGTTTACGTCCGGTCGCATACCTACAGAATTTACACACCAAATTTCATAACGATCGGTGAAGTCGTTCCGGAGGAGTTTGCAGACAAACACTGTGACACGAGAATTTTATATATTAGATTTAATTATTTATTTATTTTAATTATTTATTTATTTTACTTGACTGTTAATACCAAAGCAAAAGTTTCAACTTCGTATGCGTCCGGATTACGAATAAACCTAAAACAATCTTACACCAATTTACCAATAAGTTTAATAAACCAAAATTGCACATACTCCGGACAGATTTCTTATAAAGAGATGCTATGACAATATGATCAAATCTCTATTTAATATAGTTTAGGTTATGTATTGATTAGTCAGGACATTGATTGAATAAATAAATATTTAAACAGTATATATATATACTAAAACGTAAATACAGCACAAAACAAACATATAAAACATAAAACATAAATGTACAGTACATAAATAGCCTAATTGTTACAATAAATTAACAATGATCATTTGTTAAATTAATCAGTTCAATGTTATTTATATAATTCGACCATAAAGATAGGCGAATGTCTCTCGTGTTTATTAGGACAATAACACAATATACCTTATTGTTGATTCAGGAACACGCCATGAACAGCTATTTCTGAGAAAGGTGAACGAAATACCTGTTGTAAAATGCAGCTAAAGACATCTGCTACAACGTATTTGACTTATTGTTTAATATAAGCAAAACCATATAGATTCAGTACTTGGAAAGGCAAAGGAAATATTTTGTAAACAGCGTACAGAATGTCCCGTTAATCCCCACACGTTACTCAGAATGGACTTCATTTGCAAATTCTTAGAGTTTCCTTTCACAACAATCCATTCCAGTTATTGGGGTGTTGGGTCAGCCCTCTATCGCGTAGTTGCGAGAAAGTGATTGGCCTCCAATCAAGGAGCGTAAACGTAGAAATAATAACTTCGTAGGGATGCTAATTTAGCGGTTTTGACCAAGAACTAAGCTTATCTCAACACACCTTTATTTGCCTTTTCATTTTTGACGAAGACGATTTCCAATCTTTCAATCAGGGAAGCCTTTTTATCATCATTATCATCAAACACAAGACCAAAGCTACCTTAGTAAACCAATATTTATTCACAAACATGTTTGCTGCCTTTAGTAGTAGAGTTAAACCTCTGGAGTAATATAAATTATTTATTAAAAATAACGTCAACAAAAGCAAAGAAAGACTAATAACAAACTGTTTTTGTACAAAATATATATTGTACTGGGATTTCTAACCTGACATAGATAATTTGATTCTGAGTTTGTTTAAATATTATAATAATTTGTTTTGTATTTGAGCTTTTTAGGGACTTTTTAGGGACTGGTTCGGTTATGCGCAATATTATATGCCTATTTAGTTTTCAAACCAGCTTTGTTGAATTGTGAATGTGTATGCTATATACTTATGTGTATTTGGAATACGCTATATTTATTTTTTTAATCTAATTTATTTTTATAAGATATACCTTTACATTACTTTTCCTTATTATGTGACTTATTTTTATATGTGTTGTCAATGTTTAGACCTAGAATTCATTGTGATGTTTGATCTCGGCTTGGCTTAGGAGTATGCACAATGTTTTAATATTTCAACACCAGTTACTAACTATAACCAGGCCCTTAGTAATATTATTTAAATGAAACACTTTGTTTGTTAAGGATATGTAATTTGGCTGACAACTAACTGCACTCACGGTCAAAGGAATTTACAAGGGTTGGAAGGGTAGCCCGCCTAAGCCATATGGAACTGCACTCACGGTCAAAAATCGGTCTTTCACGGCTGAACGCTTCGCTAGCCCCTTAGTCATCTGTTTATTCCATCCTCTGTCTTACTTTATCCAATACTTATATTTAAAACACGTTTTAGTGTCTGTCCCAATAAATACAACAATAACTAACCTAACCTAACCTAACCTTTACAAAAGAAGCTTCGTTATAATAAGAATATAGCCTATCATGTTATCGTAAATACTATGCTAGAATTTTCTGTGCACATATATATGTGTATTTTTT